CTCACAGTCTGCGCGAAATTTCCGCGAAGCGTTGCCGCTCCGCGACTTTCAGCAAATTAACAGCCTGCTTTTACCAGCGCTCTTAGCGCTATAATACTGTTTCGAGTCATGTATCTGTCGCCTCACTTCACCCCTTTCTCCCACATTGTCATTTAAGCACCGGAGCACAGCTTATAATTTGTGGAGAATGGAATGAGGGTGTCCCTAAAGTATGTACAGTCTGCCCCGATTCCAATCTTATATATAAAGCTGAATGTCTGTATGTCTGTCTGTATGTCTGTATGTCTGTACGTATGTGCGGAATAGATATTTTTATTTCTGAACCGATTTGGACCAAACTTGGCACACATATACTTCGGGGCAGGGAGCGTGTCATAGGCTACTTTTCGTTATCGATCGATATCGATTTCATCGATTTTTTGCAAAATTTGAGCTACGGGGCTGGGAGTTGGCACAGGGGGGTAATCGAGCATGCTGATTACGAATATAATAATGACAGGGCCGGGCGGAGCCGGGTTTGCCAGCTAGTCAGGCCATAAATGGCATGGCGGGAGTCTGCATCGCAAGGCTTTTGATCACGCTTAAGGCCTGCTTGCCTGCTCCCTCTTCTATTACTTCACCCTGTGCGACATTGCGCGTATGCAGCGCAAAGTGTGGCGCTGCGTGCGCGCAAATCTACCCAGCGGTTCGGCCTCATCTCGACTGGAGCAGACGTACAGTCTGCCCCAATCCTAACCAGGCCAAAATTGGCTTGGCGGGAGTGCGCGTCGCGAGGGTTTCGCGCCACTTTTACGTCTAGCTAGTCTGCTCTCTCCTCAATCTCTTCGCTCTCTGCGACAGCGCGCGTATGCAGCGCAAACCCCTAGCGCTGCGAGCGCGCAAATTCAGCCGACGGTCCGGCCTGATCCCGATTGAGGCAGACTGTATACCCTGTTTGATCGTTAATATCTCACTTCCCTGGAAGTGTTTTGCCTACTTCAAAGTATCATTTTATAGAGCTGGTTTCAACTTAGAGTTACAGTATGGAGCAGACCACCGATCTTTCCTCGTTACTCTAGGATCATGGTAAGAACTAAGAGAAGGGTCTTGAGCTATCGAAGGCCCTTTTTTCGCCTCAGGACGCAAACCTAACAACCTAAAAACTCTTACACTAGGCTACTTAGAGTAGCTAAAACCAGATATTAACTTAGCATTTTACCACGATGCTTCCTTCATAACTTAAGCCAGATAAATCGCAGTAGCTGTTTTAAAAGCTCCCTAAGAATTTGATTACACCGTTTAAAGGCTTCACAAATTCTTGAAATGTTAAGTAATGAAATCAGCGCGTAAATTCTCTGATATAACAATTTTCAGACGTGGAAATTAGTTCTGGGGCTCCAACCCAGGCACGGCCCAAGCGACAGCGCAAATGACTCACTAACGGCTGAGATATGCTCCTCCAAACTGGACCACGGGATCGCATTATCGAACAACTTGCATCGTGTTTGCATGCTTTCGCGCGAGGACCCACGCGAAGCTAATGTGTCGCGCCATGGATCCGTGCAAAATGCGATCCTGCGGTCCAGCTTGGAGGCGAATATCTTAGCCGTTAGGCTCCCGCCAGAGTGCCGAAGCCATGCCAGCGCACGCCAGCGCCGAGCTAGCGTTTCGATCGATACACGTGTATTTCCTTGGGGCGGGGTCCTGGCTGAGAACTAGGTCAGCTAGCCCTGCCCCAACGAAATACACGTGTATCGATCGAAACGCTGGCTCGGCGCTGGCGTAGCGCTGGCATGACTTCGGCACTCTGGCGGGAGCCTTAGAACACCATCTGAGCTGCCGATTGGGCAGTATCTTGGTTAGGGTCCCAAAATCACTGTCCACATGAGATTCCAGATCTGTCTGGACGCTGGCTCTAAGCGACACGGGCACGCCTTGCGTAAGTCTTATTAACAAGCTATGTGTGCGTTTTGACGCTTCTTGATTGAACAATAGAATTTGTGATAGAACATGTTCGAGCTTGTTAAACAGGCGATCGACATGTTCTTGCACAGCTCCTGATGGTAATTTACAAGACGCGTTAAAACGCATTCATAAACTTGTTAGCCAGGCTTATGTACGCAAAGCGTGCTCTTGTCTCTTAGTCAGAGAATGAACAATAATTTATGCTTGTCTCAATAATTGGGGTGTTTTTGACCGCTCATGTATCACGTAGCTTTCGTCGTTGTTTATTTACAGTCTGCCCCAATCCTAGTCAGACCAATTGGCATAGCGGAAGTACGCCTCGTTGAAGTTGCATGGCGCTTACGCCTGCCTGCCTGCCTTCTCTCTCTCTCCTCAATCCCTTCGCTCTCTCCGACAATGCGCATATGCAGCGCAAACTTTAGCGCAGCGAGCGCGCAGATCTGACCAAAGGTTCGGCCTAATCCCGATTGGACAGACTCATCTTGCGCTAGCGTGGGTACGGGTCAGGAGTCACGATTTGCCGCGAAGCGATGCCGCCACGTCAAGCAGTACAAGGGTTCAGCTTTCTTCAGTACTCTTGGTGCAATGTCACTTATAGCCTCGAGTCATGTATCTCCCCCCCCCCCCCACCCCTCCACTGGCGCCATGCCACTTTAGCACCGGAGAGTTTTTGTAAAACACAAGATCTAAGCGCGCGAGCGTCGGCCGCGCGCGGTGTGACACCTGACCCATAGCCGCTAGCGTGGCCTTATCGCGGGATCCATTCCAACAATGATACTTGCTTTATTCCATGTCTTTGGAGTAGGGGAACGAAGGCTGCCAATTTGAGCCGCCTTTCGCAGCCAACTGGTCTTTTTGGGAGGGCAAGCGTTAGGCGACAAAACGTGGAAAACGCAAGCAGCGTAAATACCGTAACTCAAAACTGAGCGCCATTTTCTCAATGGAGTCGGATAATGTATCGGCCGCGACACCCACCCCCCTGTTTTTGGCGCCGGAGCGTTTTGCGCTTGGAGTTTTTGGGGTCCAAAAAATTGGGTTTGTCGCCTAACCCACATGTCGATGTAGGAGCAGTAGTCCGCGGAGGCAGCCCAAACTGCCGGCCTTCGTTCTCCTACCCATGTCTTCGCATTCTTCAATGAACCTCAATATAAGTTGAGAAAACATCGCTAGTAAGCTTTTGCTGGAATCGTATGGACAAGCGCCACTTCCAGCAATTCGCGGTCCGTTGCGTGTGCGTCACACGACTATCTGCTCGCTTGCGAGAGTAGGCCGGAGCACTGATGTCGTATCATCTATTCTACGACTAGGAGACGCGCGACTGCATTGCGGACATTGTCTTAACATGTTTGAGTTTGTTCTTCCTTGTTTCCAAAGAGTGAATAAACGGGGACGAGATAAATGACAAGTATAAACCTGCCGAGTACACGATTGAGCTTGTTTAGACAATGTGTGCAAAGCGGTCTCGCGTCTCCTAGTCCTAGAATGAATGATACATGCGCGGCGGTTTTTGATAACGGGAAAGTACAGAAAATGCGGCAATTTTCGGCTATCCGGGCCCCAAAATTTTTTAGTCATGGATTTTGTTCAAACTTGGTGCAGGGGGGTTATCTGACATGCTAATCATGAATATCACCTTTTCTCCGCAGGAAAACGCCTCCCTGCAGGGTTACGGTAGGTGCACGGCAGGGGGTCAAAATCACGGATTTGCCCGAAACTTGGCCCAGAAAGGTTATTCGGCCCGCTCATGCTGAATATCATATTGGTTTTGTACCGTAGCGTCATTTTTTCGGGTTACGGTGGGTGTACGGTAAGGGGTCAAAATCTCAAAATCCGCTGTAACTTCGCACAGATGGGTTATTCGACATGCTGATTAGAAATGTCAAACTTTCTCCGCACGAAAACGTCTCCCTGCATGGTTACGGTAGGTTTACGGCAGGGGTCAAGATCACAAATCGGCAAATGTATCCTTCCCCTGTGCTTTGCTTAGGCAAAAGCCGCAACAGGGTATGTAACGCGCGACGGTGGTCGTGTGCGCAAAGCTTCACGATCGTCCGAATCGCCGTACACCCGTTTCAGGCAGAACTATGTTTTACACACGCTACCATGTAGCAACCGTAACCCGAAAAAATGGCGCTACGGTTCAAAACCAATGTGATATTTGGCATCAGCGGGTCGCATAACCCTTCTGGGCCAAGTTTCGGGCAAATCCGTGATTTTGACCCCCTACCGAGCACCTACCGTAACCCTGCAGGGAGGCGTTTTCCTGCGGAGAAAAGGTGATATTCGTGATCAGCATGTCAAATAACCCCTCTGGGCCAAGAGCGAAATCCATGACTAAAAAATTTTGGGGCCCGGATAGCCGAATAGCGCCGAAAATGCTCTATAATGGATTTTCATTGGTAGATCAGTCGGTGCTTCAGAGGCTGATTCCAAACTGATTCCAAATACGTTGTTCCTAACTGCGGCACATCATTCTGAAGCGAGTTAAGGTTTTTTTTTCTGTGCCAAATCTGCATGCTCTTTGAACCTCTAGCTTTACGATATCATCATCTAAGTGCTAGTTTACTGCGTTAAGTTTCTTGTCAATGACAAAGACTCAATCTAATATCATTTTAGTGACCCAATCCGTTTTTTACGCAGATTTCCACCTACAACAGCGTTCCCATCTTGGACAGTGTGCCAAATTCGCTCAGAAAAAAGCTCGTAACTCTCTTCAGAGTGATTTGCCGCAGCTAAGGACAGCATATTTGGAATCAGCGTTCAAAGCTATATGTGTCTCATCCCAAATGTGAATATAAGTTACCTGACTTCCCTCCTCAGTATTTTTTTCTGTCATATATCATCAGATGTTAGCCTTAAAGGCAGTGGATCGGCAAAATCCAACAACTCAGGATTTTAACGCGGTAGGTTCCTTGTTGCCCAAGTATGAAAACAGTGCAGTCCCGGTTGCACAGCATGCTTTCCCCGCCGAGAAAATCGCTCTCAAACTTACACGCGCAGGCCAATCTTACACACATCTGGACGAGTTCTCGACTATCTATCTGAAGGAATTGCAAATGTGGGAAGAGATCCGTTTCTCTGAGTGGTATACGTACCGCTTTGTTTTACCAGAAGTAGTGGGTAGAAGGCGGGCGATCGCTAATCAAACCTGCGTTTATCTCACGAGCGTGCTCTCTGATCATCTCATGCTTGAATAGCGATCGAAGCCCCTCCTCCCACCCGCCACTCGCAGTAAAACAAAAGGTAGGCGCTACATGCGATCAGGCCGTACCCGGTTCAACTGCTTATGCGGTTTACACTTCCGCTCTAGGAATTCAGTGATTTCGCCTACAGCGAAATCAAGGGGGTGAATCAGATGAACCGATTTGACGGATATGTATGACGCCTGCCTCAGAGCCGTGTGGCGGAGTGCGTGAGCAATGTCCGCAGCCGATGCAAACTTCGGATTTGGCAAAGCCCTATACCAATGGGTAGCATTTGGAAGCAGACCATAGGTGTGGGGTCGCTCTTGCCGTGATTTTACAACCTGTAACCCCTCATAGCGTAAATTTTGCAATTCCAGCAACGTCAAATTGATGTTGTATACTCGTGGATGATTCGGCTATACAATGAAAGTACTGGTGGAAGTTTATCGAAATACAGAGCTTGTGGAATTAATGGCTTTTGCGGTCAGTTTCAAGAAGGGAAAAGAATCAGCGTCTTTCGTTGCAACACGATTTTTCCACTTCAGAAGTCTCGAGGAATGCGCATTGATGGATTTCCCGACAATCCTGAGTTAGATTTCTTGAGCAGCAGGCCGAAGGCGAAAAGCTACCATGAGAAGGAAAAACGTGCCAAAAGTGTAGCTAAAATCCGCAGACATATTGGCCAGGTATTAGTACACTTGAACATGAATCGTTTGCAGCTGTGAGACCGTCTCTTTCAGCTGAAACAACCACACTATTACTACTATTCAAGCACATCGACAAGTGAGGAAGAAGAATCTGCATACGAGCGTAGGAAGAGTGTGGCAAAACAAGCGCAGAGAAATGTGTCCCAGTAAGTGATTGTCTACATCCAGTAAAGTCGACTGCACGAAATCGCCCGGATCGCCATAAGCTAAACGCGCCCGAGCGTGCCTGCAACGCGGTTGCTGAGTGGGAGCGCTATGATACTCGTGCGCACGAGTGCCAATGTTAGCCCGCAAGAGACACGCTCGCGGGCGTTCAGCACGGTCGATCGTGCAGTCAACTACATCAATAGAGCCAACTTGCTGGTATGTCAGGAGTAAAGATGCACTGCTGGTGTCAGCAAAAGATATGCAGACAGCCTGCAGCCAATAGAGAAATCCACCATTGGCTGGACCAAGCGGTAGGCGGCAAAAGTGCAAGATGCAAGCAGCATGGAGCTCCCTCTTATACCTTCTGCTCCAAGTTTTATGGTCTCCATACATGTAAACCGCGCGCCACTTTCTGTTTTGGCCGCTGTAAGTGGGGCGTTGTGTGGGTTTTAGGCCGCACATACACCACGCGATTTCACTGCCTCGCGATTCCCGACAACTGTTACTAGTCCATTGCATCCATCTTGCAATTTTGGTTATAATAGTTCTTGAATCTCGAATAACCATCACAACCGAAATGCGAGATGATCGGTATGCAACGAACTCGTAATAATTGTCCTGTCGGAAGGAAAGGCAGCGTCCAGGCACCTGTCATCAGTACCGTGTTTAGGCGGAAGACTTGCCTCGGCTTGCAAGATCTTGCGTGGAGACCCAAAACAAAGGCGTGGGTTTCCAAGCGAAGTAAGCAATCCGACGCAAGTCCTCTGCCAACTATGGTAGCGGGGTCTAGTTTGGATATGAGTCTCAACTATTGCAAATCTCTGCTGCCGTTTGAGTTATGTCTCAAACACCTAGAACCGTCCGGGTTCGGCTTTCTCTTTACCTTGGCCTGGTGGATAATCTAAGGTTGATAGTATTTTTTTTTTGTATGTTCAACCTTTATTTTTGTTTTTTGGTCACCAAAGGTCGTTCTCACCAGGGAAAGGGCGCTCTGTGGCTGGCCGCACTTGGGCGCGGCCGAGGGGCACTCGGGTCTTCTAGGGGCAGAATTCATTATACGGGTACTGACAACTAGATCCCCTTCTGCATACCATTCATTTCTGATGAATTGAGCAGGGCAGTGCGGCGAGGCGTACATCAGGCGGGTTTGCACGGCGTGGTAAGAGTGGTCGGTATTCCCTCGAGGACTGCACCGCCATAAAAAAGGAACTTGCGCCTCATCAGTCTCTATGCGGATTTGAATACGAGGCCGGGTCATCAAGGCCCGTGTAAAAGAACTGAGGTAGAGTCTTGTATATAGATGGTCCTCGGACGCCCATCTTGTGCTCTCTACTAAGGTGAGTACTGTGCTCGTGAATATGAATTTGTTTAGCATTAGATTTGTTTTCGAATGATACTTTGGTCTTTTGTTGACGTCTGGGCGACTAAGTCCATATGATTTCGACTTGCAAACTTTGAAGAAGGCGGCGCTGAAACGTTGGCGTATGGAAAAGTATTATCAACTCAACTTTGGAAGTTCGCTTAGCGAATTGAGCTACGAGTACCCACCATGCCAAGGTTAAGAGAAAGCCGAACCCGGACGGTTCTGGGTGCTTGAGACATAACTCAAACTGCAGCAGAGAATTTGCATATTTTGCCTACCATATTTGGCAGAGGACTTGCGCCGGATTGCATACTTTGCTTGGAAACCCACGGCTTTGTTTTGGGTCTCCACGCAAGATCTTGCAAGCCGAGGCAAGTCGTCCGCTAAACATGGTACTGCGGACAGCTACCTGGACGCTGCCTTTCCTCCCGACAGGACAATTACCCTATTTTCCGGAGTATAAGCCGCATTTCTTTTCACCGCGCGCGGGCTGAAATGCGATGTCGTTCGCGATGCGCGAAGCGCACAAGCAACAACTATTATCTATTTCGAACCGGTAAATCAAAATAAAAGAAAGCACAATTTCAGCACCGGTAACATCTTTGAAAAAAGGACAGCACAGTCAACCAGTATTATCGTTTAGGAAAGAAAACACAACCTAAACACCCGCAAAGTCATACGAAACAAGAAGGAAAGTCTAAGCATTTTCACTATCATCAGGATGCATTGACGAGAAGCTATTATCGAGATCGTCTATGTCTAGATCAGTTGTAAAGGCTTCGTTGAATCCATTAAGGAAAAAAAGTAAAAAAAAAGAAAAAAGTACCTGAGGACATGACTATCCGTACTAGCACGCACCGAGTTTTCTATTTGCTATATAGCTCTTTTCAAAGGCGCTTTCGCGCCACTGTTCGCTGCGGCGGGTGCGGCTTATATAAGGTGCGGCTTATACTCCGGAAAATAGGGTATTACGAGTTCGTTGCATACCAATCATCTCGCATTTCGGTTGTGATAGTTATTCGAGATTCAAGAACTATTGTAACCAAAATTGCAAGATGGTTGCAGTGGACTAGTAACAGTTGTCGGGTATCGCGAGGCAGTGAAATCGCGTGGTGTATGTCCGGCCTAAAACCCACACAACGCCCCACTTACAGCGGCCAAAACAGAAAGTGGCGCGCGGTTTACATGTATGGAGACCATAAAACATGGAGCAGAAGATATAAGAAGGAGCTTCATGCTGCTTGCACCTTGCACTTTTGCCGCCTACCGCTTGGTCCAGCCAATAGTGGATTTTTCTATTGGCTGCAGGCTGTTTGCATATCGTTTGCTGACACCAGCACTGCATCTTTACTCTTGACATACCAGCAAGTTGGCTCTATTGATGTACCCCAATTTCACGCGTACAAGGCGCGGGGTGGTCCTAGCAGCACCTAATTGAGGCGTTCGTACCTCTACCCAAGGAACCCATACCGTGCTGCGTTTTGCCTGACGAATCGTGCGGCATAAGGATCGCCTTCTTAAAACACGTTGGGGCGGCTGAGCAGCTCGATGAAAGCTAGGACCACCCCTCGCCTTGTACGCGTGAAATTAGGGTAGTTGACTGCACGGGATCGACCGTGCTGAACGCCCGCGTCGAAATGCACTGGCTCGAGGTGCAAACCCAAGAGTAGGTGTTCATTTCTCTTTCTTGTTGATGACGGTCTTCGATGATAAATGCACACTTACTTGGGTTTGTACCTCGAGCCAGTGCATTTCGAGGCTAAATTATCCTCAAGGTGTATTTTACCTTTGATCTGTAACAAAACTTGTGCGTTGTGAAGTCTTGTATGCAAGTATCTTACCTCAACGTATGTTGATTTCATAGCCACAGGTTGCTTCTGATGTAACCGACCGCCTGTCTGTGTGATTAAAGGCCGTCCACCCAAAATGAGGTCTTTGATTTTGATGCCCAAAGCTCCCAACTGTATAACTGCCCATCGTTGCTTCACAAGTGAGAAGGTTGCTTCGTAAATCGCTTCGGATGACGGATTCGCCACCTTGGCTCCTCCCTTTTGAATGGGCGTGGCGTTTGTCCCCCATCCGCGCGCAGCAAAATCGCCCTTTTGGAAAACTCGCTCCGCGGGTTCTGCGCAAAGGGGAGTGTTGGGGTCTTTGCGGATTCTCGACCTGATATCCAGAACGGGGACATGTGAAGCCTCGGAACGACAAAAAAATTCGAAAATTTGGATGGACGATGCCTCTAAAAGACGTTTGTCTATTGATCAAATTCTGTCTAGTAGATGTGCCTCATCAACCCTGACTTGTAAGACGAATGGAAATGCACCTGAGCCAATATCTACGGACAACAATCAAAACGTCAGGAAAAATGTGGCAGCTTGCACGGTAAGTTCATAAAGACAGCTCACTTTTATCTCATGAATTGGTGTTCAGAAATGTGGCATTGTGGTGGCGAATAAGGGAATGCCATCATTAATTAGTCACGCTACTACCCATTCGAATTTCAATAGGTTGGTCGAACATAGATACCTACTAACATACCTACATTCACGATATGGCACGAATTCTAAATTGCAGATTTGAATGTGGGATTTGCGGTTTCAGTCACAAAGTCGTTCACAATGTTCGCTCGCACATTGACACTGAGCATAACGGGGAAAGCTTCATCAAGTTCCGAGATCTAATGCGAGTTTTTAAAGAAATAGGCCATTATTCTTTATTCCTTTTATTTTCTGCATGTCAGGAATGAAGTGGAACGTGTGGTAATGAAGCAGCTTGCACACGAATGTTTCCCTGCTTACATAAATAGCCCATACTCCTCGCAGAAGGACACTATTGACACAAGCCCTTCGACTTCGAATTCAAAGTGCATCCAACTGTCAGCCGTCCAGCATACTACAGTGAGGATCTTTCTTTTCAATTTTGCGTATAGTGGTGTAAAAATTTTGTTTTTTTTTCTGTCAAAGCGAGCAAAATTCCTTTTTCCTTACCAGTTCAAAGTGTTTGTCATTCTGACAGTGAAGATTGATATCGCAGTTTTCCAGTGCTACCTCTGAAGTAGTCTTTCTTTTTCAGATGGACAAAGCTAAAGAAGCAGTTGCATGTTCAAGAAAGCCGGATGCATGCTGTCATTTATATAAACTAATCAAGCAACCAGCAAGTGCCTCACTTTGTAACATCAGTCAGCCGACCACTGAACCAAGCGAACCACGTGACGTTGACGATATGAAGCAGTCAGCCACATCGTCTAGTGATGGTTGCTCGCCTATCAAAATTGATCTTGAATCCGACTCAGACTGCATCATTATTGATTGATGACTTCTATAATGCTCAATTTCTGTTTTTTTTTTCACTTCTAGTAAAATCAGGGGTCTCATATCAAAATTACTAGATACTTATAATCAGATTTGCCTGTGCTATTCGGTGCTGTAAACTATCTCAATTTCCAGGTCTCTCTCGGCGCTGTAAAGATCCGGTTACCGGTAGCTGTAGATCTCTCTTTGTGCATGTTGTTCAGTTGTCTGGTTAAGTTACGAATTTCTCAATGAAGTTCTCGCGTTCTTATTTGCTTGAGGTTGTACTACATAGACAAGAACTAGGAAGTCTTTCAAAACCTTTTCACAATGTTCATGTGAAGAATCGAGCGCCATATTCCAGATGTTACAGGTCATGCCATTATCACTTTACGGCTTCGGGCAGAGCTCACACGATTTGGTCGTCGCGATTCAATCGCTAAAAGGACAAAAGAACAACTGTGGACTGTGTTGATGTTGGGTAGTAGACTTTTCATGTGCTTTCGCTTTAAAATTTCGGGGGTTAAAAGTGGCAGAGAAAGATCGAACTTTGGCCCATAGGTTCCATTATGGGGACTCCTATTCTGTGACCCTGTTCTGCCACGGGTCTCATTCTGCCGACCTACTGCCTTTAACGGATGTAAGCGGAGTTGGTGGACTTTTGCACGCGTCTTCGAAGCTGGGCCATGAATCGGTGGGTGGGGTTGCAACTACGGTGCACTTGGTCAGTCTGCTCCTCACATCATCAAGTGTTCATTTTGGCGACCACTGCCACTAATGAGACGTACGAATACATACAAGATATCGTTTATTGGAAGGTAGAAAGTGGAGCTTTAGAGAAATTAGAATCATACAGTAATATACAGGAAACAGGGTTTTATTACGCGTATTAGTGTCGAGAGGATTTCGGAGGAATTAGCGGACGCGATAAAGCATCTTTCTTTGCATTTTGTACTGTAAATCTCCACGTCTGACCATGTTGATTATGACCTAAAATGATGATAGACTTTGTTGAAAAGATTTTCCAGTATGTTTACCTTCTTCACTAAAGTCTCATTGTAATGTTGACGAGTAACGAAGTCTTGGATGATCACAAGTTCAGATACGTGCGTCCCCACGGAGAAACGCTTCTTCATTTGTGATTCAATTCTCTGCATAGATTCTTGGTCTACATCGGAGGTAAAGCCCTCGATACCTTCAAATCATTAAGATAGACCAAGCAAATAGACAGAGACAATTATTACCAGCAAGATTTCCAGTGGCTGCTGCTTCGATGGTCGATACTCGGAACAAACGGAGTGCTTCTTCAACATGCTTATCTAATACAAATGGTAACAGCTCCATTTTTGCCAAGCTTTCGCTCATACGGATTACTGCTTCTAGTTGACGAACAGTGATAGAAATTGAGGATTTTGCAGCTTTCTTTCCCAGTCCTGAAGTAATTATAAATCAAAACAGTTCAAGAGTTTTCAAATAAGCTTACTTATTTCATCTGAGTCCACTGGAGGATTTCTCATTCGGACATAGTTGCTCGCAAGCTTTTCACTGGCTTGTGGATTAAGCCGTGGACCACAGTTTGCTCTTGCGTAACATATGAATTTTTTCAGAAACTCTGCAAAATTGGTTGATGAACAAATTAGTAAAGCGCTTCTTAAAAAATGTAAGTTCGAGGAATGATTATGTAGCCTTACCAAGGGTCAGATAGCCATCGGCATCGAACATCTCTGTCTTCGCATCCTTGTTTACTTCCTTCTCGATTATTGACTTGTCCTTGTTCTTCGAAGCATTTACGTGGACATCGATGACGTGTTTTGCGAGAGTCTGAACATTCACCTCAGATACTAAAACCATTCGTCACACGTGCAACTTACCTCATCCCGCTTCACATCATGTGTATCCTTTACTATGTAGATCATATCAAACCGAGATAGAATTGTAGGCATGAAATCAATATTTTCATCGCCGCGGCTATCATCCCACCGACCATAAACGGAGTTAGCAGCAGCTAACACCGAACACCGAGAATTCAGTGTTGTGGTTATACCGGCCTGAAAACAAGCAGTGTATGTGACAGGTTTTGGAAGACAACAAGCACCTTGGCAATTGAAATGGTCTGCTGTTCCATAGCTTCATGGATAGCCACACGATCATCTTCTCGCATCTTGTCAAATTCGTCAATGCAAACGACTCCACCATCAGCAAGGACCATAGCGCCACCCTCCATCATGAACGTGCGCTAGAATAGCAGGGAGTTCTTGATTGTTTTTAGTTGCTTTACTCAAAAAAATAACAGAATTTGAGTTTGACAATCATTTCACTGGCTCTCAGATCTATAGTCAGGCTAAGAAAAAGGACATGAAAGATCTATAAAGCTAACTTTCTCAAAAAGAATTTCTCCTAATGTTTCAAACCTCAACCCAGCGAAACAAATTTGAAAAATAACAATGCAACCAACCGAGGTAGGATCGCGTATAACAGAGGCAGTCAGACCGGCGGCTGATGAACCTTTACCCGAAGTATAAACGCCGATAGGAGACACCTCAAAAATGTTGATTATTTTCAAAGAAAGTAATCATGGGTGCAGTATGCTAACCTGCTCGACAAATTTCAACAGCTGAGATTTGGCAGTACCCGGGTCACCAAGAAGGAGCACGTTGATGTCTCCACGTCGAGTGAGGCCATCAGGTAGCCTATTAATTAATAATGCATTTGATGCGGTTGCTTCGAGGATTAGATGACGAACAAAGTGATTTCACCTTTTCCTTGAACCTCCAAACAGCAGACAAGCAATCGATTTCTTTATGTCAACAGATCCATAGATGGAAGGAGCGATACTCTTGGCAATGAGTTCATAAGCATCAGGTCGTTTGGCTAAGTCCCTGCAACAAGAAAACTCTTAGCAGTATGAGCGTCTAACATGCAGATAGGACGCCTAACGATATAGGAACTGCCGAAAATAATCAAAAACTCACTTGAAGTTACGTTCCTCATCTGGTGTAAAATGCTTGAAATCAGCACGTCCAGGTCCACCAGTCTCGACGTGGATACCAAGCACACGAAGGTAAGGCGTACGAATGCCAGTAAGAGTTTTGTCCTTGTTTCCCTTACCCTAAAAAGACCGAAATATTTGACTGCCTCGGGATTAGCATTTCTTCTGTCGCAGACAGTACCTTCTGGAATAGTCGCTTTATCGAAAAGACTCCAACCAATGTGACGCGATTTCCAGGTGCTACTTTATCAGTAAGGTACCTAAATTGCAGAATAATCAGTGGATGGTTAATGAAACTGAGAGGTAAATTTCCCTGCTATACCTGTCGCAATAAAGTTGTAAATGTCGAGGCATTTCCCCATGTGGGACATCTTCGGGATTTTCCTGTAGCTTTAGAGTCTGGTAATCAACGCAGTGACACTTATCGGGTACTATGTGATAAGGATCGACTGGACATCGCTGTAGCTGTCCAGATTGCGGTCTATAAACAGTCCTTTTGACCCGACAAAGATAAATTTTAATCAAATGAGCACTAACGCTCCGCAAGTTCTTGGAAGCTGGAAACCCTCAAGCCCTGGCTTCAGCACCTGGTCGCTAATAGTATGGCGACATGTGCGACATTGCAGGGTTATCTTGGTAGCTTTCGCACGCACCTCAAATACATGAGCTCTTCACGATTTCATATAAAACAGCAGTAGGATAAAAGTACCTGTGAAGCGGCAACAATGATACCGGAAATCTTGACTATTTGTGATACTTGCGCACTCTTAACTCTTCGAATTGATGTCGGATACTCGTCCAACGTCAAGGAGACCTACAATGAGATAACCCGAGTAAGGAATCATGCACAAAGATGATAATAGAAAGGGAGCGGACCTGAATATCCTTCATCTCTTCCTCGCCTTCAGGCCGAGGAGCAGTGAGCTCATCAGCAACTGTTCGAGCTGCTTCTTCGAACTAGAAAGGACGCAAGTAACTTTTTACGATCAAAGAAGGTAGTGAACTCACAGCTGGGAGGAACTTTCCAGGATGAGTTCGCAGCTTTGCTTCAGCATCTTCATCAAACTGTTTTAGATGATTCATGCTAACTTCGAGGTAGTAGTGCTTAGCATTGTAGTTTCTCTTCAGCTCGTCTCTAAAAAGAAAGCCAATATGCTACACACACCTACAAATATTCATAAAAATAAACCTTCATAACTATTGTACAAAAGCTATCGGTATTTCAAAACATTATCCGAGGAAATTTTCGAAAAGGAGTGTACGAAAAAGTTTTACTCACCGATAATGAAGACCCCCAACGCCACCGGTTGAGAATTCTCTGATGAATCTCCTAAACTGCTCACATATTTGACGATATTCTGCTATCACCTCACGGCCAGCATCGGGAACTCCATCATTGGCAAAGAATCTCTCCTTCAAAGACATAAAACTCAAGCTATTACGCTGGAATTAGTAATCTCACTTAGTTTACCTGATAGTACAAGCCAGCATCGTCAAAGTTCGACATTTTCACACGTCAGGATGTTAGTGACTGGCAATGGCGTTCCTAACGGCCAAAACTAAAACATGAAAAGTCTATCTGTTGATGTGGAACTGCTTGAAATAGAACTTATAATCAGATGGAACAAAGAAGGCTTAGAGTGATCAATCCAAACGCCGAATTTTGGCGCACACGATTTCAAACAATGAATGCTCCCGCGCGATTGAATTGTTACGCGAGCACTCATTTCGAGTGGAGCGTGTTGTTTCTCCTTCCCCACACCAAGTTGCATGATCGGCTCTCAGATTCGTGGGGAGGCGGGTTCTTGACCTTCCCTGATCATGTATAAGGATAAAGTTGATGAGAGAGTACAAAAAAAAGTTGCAGCTTGAGTTTCAACAAGTTTATCTTCATAATTAAGGAGAGTCCGCCACCCGCCTCCATAAGGATTTGGGAGCTGATGATATTCTTAGTAATGGGAAAGCTCAAGGGCTTCTAGAAACTAGAAAAGGAGAGAACATGTTCAAGTTTTGAAACAATGGCAGAAAGATGTTGCGAGGTAAAAGCAGCCGGGAAATTCATTCATCCTAACCAAGTCGAAACAAAGAGATGAATGGTGGATGAAACGCAGCTTTACTGTCTGTCTGCTTACGGGGTAAAAGTACGCGGAAGGCTTTTCGGATTTATCTAAGATTTCCAAATCGACATGTCCGCAATAACCATCGTATAGAAATCATCTTATTAGCCTTTTGCGTATAGGAAGACGAAAGCGAGATTGGCTGAGTTATAAATCGTTTAACTTTTTGATTCGTTCGAAATCAAAAACTACTGAAGGAGACGAAACACGAGAGAGGGAAATGATTTCCCGCTCGAGAGCAGCGGAGAAATTTATGCTGATGGAAATCGACTGCAATTTCAGTTTTTCAATGGATCGTGAGGTTAGTCGAAGCTCTAAATATTGAGAGTAAGCAGTGGGGTGCCCAGGATTTCCGCTCAGGGAGGGGGGTGCGACAAAAAAATTTTCTGATGAAGGAGCGTGGCGTTAGCCACGCACTCCGAAATTTTTTGGCATGCTTCCCAAGATTTTTTCTGTCCCCTAACACCAAAATTTCAGCAAAAGGGGGTGTGGCGCCAACCATGCCCCTGAAAAATTTTTTTATAGGGCCAAAATGAATTTTGAAAAAATTTAGAAAATTATTTTAGTTATTTACAAGTATAAAAAAGTCATTTGCATGTTTTTTTAACTCATGTAGGAGACTTTCAAAAATTTCGCGACCCATTCTCGGGGAGGGGGGGCACCCTCCCCCCCCCCCACCTCGGTACGCCACTGAAAGCAAAAGTGTATTATCTTGGCACATGATACCTACAGCATTTGAGATTACATGGCTTCATCAGAAACCTCGCATATCTGAATATTAAGTCACTTCATTCATCGCGAATGTTCTTTCAGTATATTCGATTGTCACAAAAACGTGCACAATAGAGAGGGGCAAAATTTCGAAGGACTATTCGAAGCAGCTTTTCCTCATCATTCCAATATATCCATAGCATTTGTTTCCGTGATTCACTGAAATAATCGCAAGTGTCACAGCCAAGTTTGGCAAGTTTTTTTAATTTTTCAGTTTCAACTTTTGAAAGAGCTGTGATAACAGGTGGATAGGGTAAGCAAAGTGCAATACAAAATTTTTAGGGCATCTTCGATTAGCTTTCCAATTTTTTAGGTCTTTCCAACACTCCTCACCTTGGCAAAATCGTATGATACACGAACGCAACACTTAGAAATCATCGCAATTCAAAACTTCCAAAACTTGATCATTATTTAACGCTAACATTTCAAAGCAAATGGGTCACTGCTTCGAAATGTCGGATATTCGAATTTCTTGTACAGCTACTATAGGCGCATCCATAACATTCACAATTAGGATGATTTTATCAGCTAAAATCCAACATTGCAAGAGAAAAAGGCTCCCAGAAAGTGGAAAGCTACATCGAAAAGACCCGGTTGTTTGTCGGTTGAAGTTCTGTGAGGCCGCTTGACCAGATACGGAGTTTATTACTATCAGAAAAATATTGTTTTAATGATTCTGAGAAGCCAGCTGGAGATGCCAGAGAAAATTATAGTGTCGCGCTTTGTTAGCCTATCCAGTTGCTATCAAAACTCATCACACGATAAAAATCGTGGAAAATTTCTGCATTCATCTTATAGTTACCACAAAAGTAAATGATCTGAAGAGACGACCGCTGAATTAGAAGTAATAACAGCGTCGAATACTTTTTGAAGTGTTTGCCCATCTTTATCTTCCGTGTTTATATCGAGAAACGCGACGTCTTCTTTCACATTCCGCATCATTTTGTTGCTCCCATTTTGAAAACACTATTCTTTTCATACACTACAAAGGGGTTCTTGTGACAGCTAGAAGTAAACGCCATACAGTCGGTTTCACCAACATGGCTAAAGCACTCCAAATCTGTCAAAAAGTTGATACAACATCAAAGCAGAGCCACACAGTCTCATTTCGAAAATGCGCAGAGCTATCGATTCGCGACTTTCGAAATTGCGCACCGAACAATTGCTGAACATTCGCCTCGTCCTCGGTTGTTTGTCCGTGACCTGTTAATCGTGTTTAACCCGTAACATATCTCGATCCTTCATATTCTAGTAAATGTAACATGTCCAGACATATTTCGGAACCAGAGGTTTTCTCCAATCTTGCTAAGACCTGTATCAAATATCTGCAGAACTTGCTTGGACGTGAAAGTCACTTGACGTTGCCATTTCTACCACATTATTCTCATTTTTGCAGTTGTTCTGCATACCATAGGTGACATTTTCACCTTCCATTGTTTAGGTGGGTTGTCTTCGTTAGCTTGCCATGAGGTGACTTGCAGGAAGCTGCAACACTCTGTGCCCAGGTGTAAATGCCTATCAAGCGCGTCTAGTTGGTCTTGATACAAGTTATCGAAAAAATCGCGAAAGTACTTATGCTTATTGCTAACTTAACCCGGGGGAAGTGAGAATCACGTCTGCGTAAGCAAGAGACAGCGGACTGTCGCAGAGACAATATGCGGCAATCAGCTGTTGCCAGGAGAACTACTACGATGTCTTGCTTAGTTTGTCAAAGGCAGCGTCCAGGCAAATTTGGAACTTATGGTGATTTTACGTGAAAAATAATTCTGGGGCCCTAACTAAGGCACTGCCCAAGCGGACCCACGCGAAACTGATATGTCGCGCCATGAATCCATGCGAAGTAGATACGATCGTGGGATCCACGGGGAACATCTCGGCCGTTAGAGCACTACCTGCGCTGCCGGTTGGGCAGTGGCTTAGTTAGGACCACAAAATTGCTATCCACGTGAGATCCCCATAGGTCCAGATTTGCCCGGATACCGCCTTTCAAAGCTGCCGCACTGCGCTTGTAAAATGTATCAGGGCGTGGAGAACTGTATTAACGTCTGTATGGAGCCAAAGGCTCACTTCAGCGAGATCCATGTCAGAAGCCAGATAACTACCGGCAGCATGGTGTTATGGAGCAAAGCTACGACGCATTCGCCTACGGCATATCCTGAGGGCCCTTTGCGTTGCGTCGCTCCTGACTGCGTCCGCAGGATCCAATGTTACCTAGCGTTAGCCGTTCTCCGTATTCTCCTTAGATAAAGAGATCAAAATGTGGAAGATAAACGGATTTTGAGGATTGTGTAATGCAGAACCCAAGAGATAGTAAAAGAAGAGGAAACTGATTGCTTTTGGAAAGTCATTGACAGAAAATTTCTGTCCCTCTTCTCTATCAAATCTCTCCTCCACTTCTCTTTAACACCTTTCGACTTGAGTTTAGCTTGATTCATCTCAGATTCATCCCTAAAATTCATCTATCTCTTCAGTCTTTCCGCACCATACTCGATCCGCTTGATACACTTGATCCGCATCAGTGAACTGACCATAGCATAGTGGATGAAGTGGAAATAGATATTCGATTCGCTATTGGTCCGTTCGCTAATGCGAAGTGGATCAAGTAGATCAACCAGACCAAGTATGGCGCTTGCCTAGAGGTGCCATCTCCTATCACAGCACGAACAATAAATTTGTAATCAGCAAGCTTGATTACCATGTTGGGCAGTGAGCTAAAGAAATGTGACTCTTATACCGTATGCCCACTTAACAGAAAATGGTGCTACGTACAAAGTGAATATGATTTTCATGTTCAAAGTGCGAAGTAATTTCTTTTGATAGAGATTCGGACGAATACGTCATTTTAACTTCCGACTACACCAATGGCACTACCATGCGAGATAAATGTGATACTCGTTCAGCGTGGAAAATACCCTCCTGGACGAAGTCGCAGTGAAGTCCGCGATTTTTTGATTTTTGGGCCGATTAATGTGGAATAGTACAGTAATAGTACGTAATAGTAATAGTACGCCGAGCAATAGCAATAATAATAGTAATAGTAATAGTAGTAAAAGTACGCCCGTTTTGCCTGCGTCTTTTCCTTTTCCGTCTTCGCTTGGCAAAATACGCTCGCTCTCACGAAGTCAGACAAGTGCGTGTTGCTCTGCATGAAATGCTTCGCATACAGTGTGTGTCGATCACCAACTCCTTTTTGTTCAGAAACTACGCACCTGCAATGCGAGACACGTGCGTGCAGGTTTTGTTTCGGTGATAAAAATTGGCGATTTTGAATGCTCAGTCTATACGTACTGCCGCGAAACTCTGGCGATTGCGAGGATAAAAAAGGAGTACGCAGTTGACACAGGCTTTATACTTACTCAAAACAGAATGTAGAAGCCTATGCGATGTGGACGCGAGGGCAAACTTGGCCTTGTTGCAGCTGAAACAAACTGTATCTACAAACGTTACAGAAAGATGGGCGATGACTGGGTTGTTACTATAGAGCCAACTTCAGATGCACCAGCTCCTTTAGAACTTCCTGAGGTCAGGACAAACCCATCAGATGATTTTCTCATTATAAAAATTTCGTTTCAGCCGAGGTTATTCAATAAATGGAGTCTGCAGGATGTTGATGTCTCTGATATTTCACTTGTTGACTATATCGGAGTAAAAGAGAAACATTCTAAATATCTTCCGCATACAGCTGGACGATATCAAGTACGATGTTCTAATATTTCCTAAGTTTGGGATTCTATGGTGTTTTCTAGAGTGTACGTTTCCGTAAAGCTGGGTGCCCCATTGTTGAACGCTTATGCAACTCAATGATGATGCATGGGCGAAATAATGGTAAAAAACTGATGGCAGTTCGCATTGTGAAGCATGCTTTTGAAATCATACATCTTCTTAGTGGTGAGGTATGTCTGTACCTCTGTCATTTAGCATTATCCACTTGGAGTGGTAGCTCGGCCGACTCCAGTCTTTGTGTTTCATCATTAATCTCTTGAATACACGGATGCCAAACTTGTTGCATGGCTCCCATGAAGGAAAAAAACCTTGCCGCGAATTACGGCGGGGCTTTTGAATCAGTTATTCTATAGTCGGTATCAGCGATATGCTCCTTTTCCCATGGCGTAGCTTGAAGCCCCGAACCGCGTTCGCGGGCGTATCGCTTGAGCGCTCAAATTTGCCGCCTTGACCATCACCCGTTAACTTACGCTAATTTTCAACTCCTACCGTCTGCCTACCGTAACTCACAAAAACGCTCTGAAATTGATGGTTATAGTAAACCAGTATCGAGTAAGTATTCTCGCGTTGCCTGCAGCACTTACGCGTAAATGATTGCGCGCTATGTAACCATTTTCACACGATATCGCAAGCAATTATCGGCATTTACAATCATAGCGCAGGGACACTACATTGACCTTGTTATCTGCTAAAATGTTTCAACTTGTGGTGAACGTAATGTTCTCAGTCAATACTTCAGAATCCTGTTCAAGTTCTGGTGAATGCCATTATTAATAGTGGACCACGTGAAGATTCTACGCGGATTGGACGAGCGGGTACAGTTCGACGCCAGGCTGTTGATGTGTCTCCGTTGCGCCGAGTCAATCAGGTTTGAATGCCGTCTACAGACTATCTCAACTGCACTGTCGGGTGCGCCTGCAGCTCGTTTTCGCGCGGCTGCCTCTGCGAACGTGTTCTCCGTCCATTTTGCACGCCTAAATAACGATTGAAGCTTGAATTCGAACCTTTTCCCAGGCCAGGCATAGGAAAATGATCAGAGGACATGTTTGCGAATGCGGTTCAGCATCCATTCGTCTATCGTCAAAGGACGCGTTCGCTTGGGCGGTCGCGCTGGATCGGAGCTGCTGGTGCACCCGACGCTGCAATTGAGATAGCCTACACGAGCTTCTAACAGAACCGCTTTTCCAGGCTATCTGGCTGATTTGCACTGGAGCACGTGAAGCCGCATTTCGCAATATAAAAACTATTGCTGAATGTCTAGCTGATGAGATTATGAATGCTGCAAAAGGCTCATCGAACAGCTATGCGATTAAGAAGAAAGACGAATTGGAACGTGTTGCCAAGTCAAATCGCTGAGTACGACTCTTCAAATTATGGTGCTGAATATAACATGTCCTGTTGTTTCTTCTGTCAAGGTGTTGATGACTTAATAAAGTTGTTGTTAAGATTCCTGGACTAAATGGAGTTCCGGGAACTACGGCGAAAATCTCTAAGATCTCTAAGCCCTGCAAGAAGTGCTAGAATTGTACGTCAAGCAAACAAACGCATCGAATCGCACAAAATCTGTCGGCTTTGTGTTGACAGAAACAAGGGGGTTTTGTTTCCGAACAAGTGCGATTTCAGATCGGCTGATCGCATTAGGCTTTTGAAGCTCAGCGCGTTGGAAGAAGCAGAAATGGAGAAATCATGATTCTAGAGGGTTTTTAGTACGGGATAACCGGCTGCTAACTCAGGCTAGGCTTTCTCTGAGCAAAAAAGTATAGGTTTGAAGGGGGGAAGGGAGGTAAAAGCGAGTATGCCCCTTTCCTTTTGTTAATTATACAAGCTTAATGCAACCGTACTGTATATACAAGCTTAATGCAACCGTACTGTATATACGTAGATGGGTCTTACTTCGAATCTCTCCTTGCTCCTCTGCTTTGTCTCGTATCACGTCTAATCATTCTTTTAATCCTTTTTATTATTTCGTCCCTTTTGTGAATGTTGAACCACCCAGGGTCCGGCACTGATCAGGCTGGACTTCGTTTTGCGAAAAAGCAAAGGGGATATCGTTTTTGTGGCCAAAAATTGCGACGTTTTTTTGATCGACATTTCGTTTTTTGAAGGCTTTTTATGTTTAGGGCTGAGAGTTAAAAGGGACTTTGTAGTTTCGCGAAAATCAAGGGGGACTTCGTTTTCAAGAAGCCTAGAAACGAAATCATGCCGGGCCCTGGGACCGCCTCTTTATTCATATTCGTTTGTCCATTCTGCGCAGTGAGGGATTACATCATATAAGCACAGTCTCACGAAGTGTGAACAAGCGTCGGCGCAATGCGGAGCAGCATGTTCTGGTGAGAAGGAGAGCAATGTGTTGATCATAATTTGCTTTCGTGTCACGTCTTTAATTACGAATCTCATAGAAAATTTAAGTAATGTAGGCGGTAAAAAAAAAAACAGAATTTCGGCAAGTTTGGAGAGGCACTACACTAATTAAGTAAAAGTACACAGAAAGTAAACGAGCAGAGGTGACACTCTATTTTTTAATGCTTCTTTTGTGTTTCATAACCAATGATGGAAATTTACAAGTTTTACGTTTTATCAAACAAACTGTTGAGGAGATCGTAACTTTTACATGCGCAGTAAATGGAATCTTCAGTAAACACGTTACTTCTTTTCCTTGTTCAGTATCTGTGAATAGAATTTTTAGTTTGTAATTTTGGTAATTATAGTTACATTTTATACAGAAAAAATGCAATCTGCGTAGAGTTTGGCGAACGCCAACAGATCGGTCTCGTAATCTATTTGTTGGCTATCAAATTGGAGGCTTGTATCTACAATTCTCCTTTTAAAAATCTAAACTCTTTCCTTCTTTTTCCTTCTTTACTTTCGAAAAATCTCGTACTTACATAAGAAGGCTTAACGACATGCATACAAGTTTTGTTGACACGGCTCGGATCTAGCTACACATTATTGGACCCTTTGGGCTTCAAGGGCAATAGTTGGAGAAGAGGGTGTGATAAAAAAGTCAAAAGTTTCCTTGAAAGTCACAAGTTCTTTGAGAATTATTTTCACATTGTTATAGGTACTTACATCAAAAGTGAGAGCTTTGCGAAGTGATCTAAAATCGGGATTCAGTTTTCTTTGAACTGTCAATTTTCTAAGCGTAGCAAAATTCAACAATTGCACTACTTCTTCAACTTGCGCCAGCAAGCCGATAGCCTCAAAGCGATCGTTTGTTACTTCTTCTTCGCTTTATAATGTTTCTGTAATTATGATAAAGTTTTTTGACCACCAGCCGTTTCCACTCTAAAATTTAAAAGTGGTGCAATTACACCAAATGATTGTGAAATGAGGTCATATCTCTCATCCTAACAGAAGCCTCGATTTACGAAAATTGTGTCACTTCATAGAACAAGCACAACATGAAGATTCAATTTTTCAGGAGTGCCGAGGGGATTGAAAGTGGTTTGCATGAGATATAAAATGGCAAATTTGCTTGTAAGTAGATCAACTAATTCTTTTTTATGAAAATTTCAAAGCAGCTCCCTAACAAGTTGCATAGGCCAGCGTCAAAATTTGAAAGCATCGCAACTCTCCGTCTCCCCTCCCCCCCCCCCCTCCTCTCCCCTCCTCTTAGCCTCTCCTTCGTAAAAATATATTTTAGACCGTTAACGTATCAAAAGTTTTCTTCAATTGCGCAAGATTTACCACGACGTAGGAAGTGAGTTGGGAGCTACTGGTCTCAACACGAAACTCTAAACAAACGGGTAGTGAGCGGCTAGTTTCTTCAGGTTCGGATTGTCCAGTACCGAAGACGATTTACGCAGAGTTCCTGCGTGAGCAAAGCTGCACCGCCACCGCCGCCGCCGATGGAACCTGAGAAGTTCGTTCACTAATGAGATGAACACACACCGATACACGCACATAGACAAGCGCGGGACCACACGTGTGTGTGTTGTCCGAGCGGACTTTTCGCGCTCATTGCTCGTTGGCTACTGTTTGGTCCACGCAACGCCTTCTTCTACACATCTTAATCCTGCGCTTGAAGCAGCCTGCGCCTTCAGCCCAATACAATAGGTATTCGACTACGCCTGCAACGTGTTCAGCGGAGACGTCCGATGACTCTTACCGTACTTCTGACCCTTCTGAACTACGCAATTGCGGAGCATGTACCTATGCAGGTTCATTCTCCCCAGAACCACTATCTGCACCAGTTTGGAACACAGCGGCTACAGTCTATGCCGACACTGATACCCAATGATGGCTCCTTATTCGCGCCTTCGTTCACAGTCAACCATCTGGCTCCATCATTTCCCATGGTCCGAAAGTTATCAATAGAGATCTTGCCGGAAACGACGCAAGCCTATGATGATAATGCATATCCTACTATTGCATCACAATTTACTATTTCACCGTCCTTTTACACTCAAACAGAGGTAAGATCCTGATCATTAATATTAGGGTGATGTAAGTGTATTATGATGTCATGATATAGGGGAATCTTCTTTGACTCTTGTTCAAGAATTTTTGAAAATTCCGAATCTAATTATTCTCGATACATTTGCTATGTCTACGATTTCGTGAAAGAATCAGAGAAGATATGCCTTTCTAATGAAAACGGCTCAGAGCAATAAGATATTGCTGCAGTAGTACAAGCTCGTAAAAAATGACTGAAGTTTGTAATTCATGTATTTTTTCACAACGTGGTCACAAAAAATCACCAAGTCCACGAATTTGATTTCCAGCTTTCATTACGTACTCTTACCAAATTTTCTATCAATTTTCAATTTCTAATCTGAAGGTGATATGCAGGGTGTTCCGAAAGTTAGTACACACTTTTCAATCGTTAACAACTCTCTTCTAACAAAACATTTTGCTCAGCTTCAAATACCATTCAGTGGAGCAGGTTTCAACTCAGAATTAAATTATGGAGCGGATCACATATCGCTCTTCATTACTATAGGATCACGATAGAAACTTTGCGGAGGCTTTTGAGACATCAATGGCTACATTTGCCCCAAAATGGATGTTCAACAAGTTATAAACTTTACCATTTGTTCAAACTGAGTAGCTAACTGTAATTGTGATATTCGCAATTTAAAGTAAAGCTTATCTGAAAGTTATGCCAAGTAAGCCGCAACAACATTTTTCCAGTGCTTTTCAAAAATGTGGTTCAACCATTCAAATCGCTTTCGTAAAGAGTTGTCCCATGAAATCAGTATGTCTGAAAACACCGCTGCGCAGATTTCCAGATTTTTATGAAATTTTTCTTTCGGACAGCCTTTTTCACACTGGCGCTGTATGCTAAAAGTTGCTACCGTAATTTTACATTTACTAAGATATATAGTAATTCCCATAAATAGTAATATAATTCCCACTGTACTGTAAATTTTAGCTGAAGCCTGCCCTACTGAATGATACTGAAGCTAAACAAAAGACTTTGTGGGAAAGGAGATGTTTACGATCAAAAAATGTTTACTCCCTTTTGGGACATCCTGTATACCTGGTTAGATACAGCGTTCGTGCATGTGACAGAAACGTAAAATATATTTTGAAAGTTTTCTGACATTTATATGACAATGTTTAGTTTTTCATGCAGGGTTCATGGACTAGCCTAATAATTCAGTTTAGTAGATTTTTTGGAAAAATATGAAAATACAACAAGTGGCGTCATTTCTTACAGCATCCTGAACCGCTTTTGATTGACCACCTCATGATTAGGCCATCAAAATTGCTATCAGCACCGGATATAGGTGACTACTCACTTCAAACACCTGTTTTGGTCCGTTTTCTTGAATTTGACCTATCCAAAATTAGCCAAAAAGACTGTCCCTTTCGCTCATTTTAACAACGAAAGTAATTTTTTCTCAAGAAAGTTCCCCTTATATTCTCCTTGTACTTTTTCTGAAGGTGCCTAAATTTGTCGAGAAAACTGTTTGCAACAACTATGCATTTAGCTGAATATAAACGAAATCGATTCTCTCAACTCAATAGCACAGAAGCGGATTCTAAAGTGAGTTTCGTACATATCCAGTTTCAGCCTGACTTACCAATTCCCGCATTTACGGTCTCGCCCAAAAAGACGAAAACCAAAATGAGCAAGCTCTCGTTCAGGTTGAGTTTTTGAGCATTTATAACATCAAATTTACTAGTGCAATAACTTTATTCAGACCGATAAAGAATGAAACTTCTGGAGCTGCCGCGCATGTGTCCGTGCCCAGTCATCGTCTTCTCAACGATATTTTAGTCATTCCATCCAGTCGTCGTCTTTACATTCTCGCTATTATTCCAATACATGAATCAGCTGATAATCAGGTGACTTGTCTACATTCCACAACTACCGTAACACTTCTCGTAACTGGACCCATGTTGTGGAAGAGTGAGATTAGTTCCTGTGCAAATAGACACACTAAACGGCTGGTTTTACAGGTTTTCGAATGCGGTAGGGTGGATTTGAATGGTTTCGTTCGATTGGCTGCTTTTTTAGACACGCTTAATCAGGTGTTGATTTGACACGTTCATGGTATTAGGTTCGGTGGTCTTGAGAGGACTGTTTGCAGGTAAACTCGGACAAAATTCTCAAAGATGCCGGTTTATCTCTTGGAGCAGTCATTATCGATAGTTGCTCGTCAGATTTGAGGACTGTAGCAGATCTGTTTGAGCTCCTCTCTGGAACAAACATACAAAAGTAGAAATCCATATTTATGCAGTGGCGTACCCGGGATTTACGTTCGGGGGAGGGGGGGGGGGGGGAGGGGGGAAGGGAGGGAGGGGCGCATTTTTTAGGAGGTTGATTTGAATCTTTAAAAATTCTTGAAAATTAGTTCAATTACTCACAAGTAAGAAAGGTCACTTGCACGTTTCAATAATACATGTTAGTATCTCAAAAATTTCGCAACCCCTCGGAAGAGGTTCCTTCCCCCCTCCCCCGCCGCTCCTCCCCTCGGTCGCCACTGTTTCACAGTACTCTTCAGCCAATAAACCATGTAAACCTTACTATCAGAACCGATATAATAGCAATGACTCGCGATGACAGTTCATATCTACCGAATTTGGATCAACTGGCTCAGCATCTTCATGTTCCAATCGTAAACACATTCTTCTCACTCAAGGAACAGGTCAACCTCAGATCATCTCTGACCCGAAAAAAAAAACCGAAAAACTAAAGGTATTTGCAGCCTCTAACAACAGGAACACTTCCAACAATCGCATCGGTGCTTGAAACGATGCTTGGACTACTGGAACATACTAACAGCACTTGCGTCAGCTTGCTATATGATGAGCTTTACGATGAGTAAGTTCCCTGATTCAATGGTCTACAGTGCAGTAGCGGGGCAGCAAAAGCACACAATGAATCCATTCCCTGTGTGCGCCTACAAGTCCGCGTCTAAACGTATTCCGTGTGAACCAAGTACGATTTGTGGCAGATGTCTGTGGATTTCTTATGCTTTTTGATTAAGGTGCAAATAAAGCACGGAGTACTGAGCAAAGCTGTCTGTTTATAGTCTTGCGCGACAATAGCTTGCATAGGTTGTACAAAACGCAACCCGCGCAACTGGATTTGACAACTTGGTCTACAGGGTATACTGCTAGTTGTTTTTGCTCTATATTTATAGAGCTTTATGGCATTTAAAAATCGTGACGATGGCGCGACCGCGCGCGACACGCACGCCACTTGCGGAAATCGCATTCTCTTGGTTTTCATTTCTAGTCGAATGGTTCTTTTGCTTACGTATGATGCTATTTAGACACTGGAGATGACTGAGCTGAACGTTAAGGTGATGCCTTCTTATCTGAACGTATTGTGCTCTTGTGGGCGCAAAGTCCGCAGTAAAATCCGTCGTCACGATTTTATAAATGAACTATACTTGCATTGATATGATTCGTTTGGTGATGTTTAGAAAGTATGATTTGTATTGAGTATATATGACTTATCATATCCTCAGGATCATACAGTAATAATTGTGCTTAGCCTTGAAACACACAGAATTCAGGAATGATGCGCTATATGGGCGAATGTCAAATTTACACAACAAAATCTGAAAGTAGACAAATAAAAATCAATTATCAGTCGTAAAACAGCCGATTTGGAAATTTGCTTAGTTATGTAGAAAGCTCACTACATAAAAGCGAAGCCAAAATTAAAATCAAATTTCTCAGAACTTTCAGCATTTTTTGATGAATGGTTGAAAGTGCACCCCTTTATCGGCTTCTACTACGCTCTAAACTAACACTTTATGTCGCTTTAGCATTATAAAAAGCATAAATTTCTCTTTTTTGAATAGCCCGAAACGGTTCATCCAAAACAAAGACTACGACTTTTTGAAAATTTGACCTATGGATCAACCAGCTACATTGAAAAAAAGATTTTTTTTTCGCTCTGCCCGTTTCCTGTCTGCTTTGGGCAAAGAAAGAGGTGTATGCATCGAGGAGGCTATTGATCTAAAACGAGGATCAACTAAAATGGAAATCGCCCTACGGAGGTGGGTACACTAGATTATTGACAATTAATTCTGCTGATAATTATGTCAGTCAGGCTACTGCTCACTGAAGCTCGTGTGGTTATCGTTCTGCTTGGTGACAAAAACTGGATCGAGTTGATGAAAGCATTGCGAAGCGAATTGGTAGGAACATATAATTCAGTCGATTTCACGGTCCTTGCGTTAAAGACAGCATTTGCGCGTCAATCATGCGCGCATGACGCAAGCTAGTCGTTGGCATCTGCATGCATGATATTTGTTCCCGCGCAAATGTTGTCGTCACTGCAGACCTACTGTATCACCCAAATCCTATTGAATTGTTAATAATACAATTTTTTGACGAAATACTGTGAATTGATGTTAGTGTTTAGGTGATTGCCGGACGTTTCATCTTCTTCTCTCCACAAGAAGCTCGTTGGACGTCGTCGAAGCAATTCTTGGAACAATGGCCTCATTTTGATCAGTTGCTATTGACTGTAAGTTTTGAACCATTTACTTCCAAGAAGTACCTTTGGTTTAGGTAACAGCAGAAAAACCAAGAGATCAATTGCGACTGAACCAGCTGGAATCAAAATTTACTCGTTTGCCTTTCCCACAGCATTGGCTGAAACAGTTTTGGGCAACTGCATTTCAGTGTCATATCGATGGTGAAGCCACACCTGGAGAGCAGTTTTCAAAGTAAGATATTACTGTTGGGCATCCTTCAGTACTTCTTTAGCATTTTCTCTTCATCAGAGAATGTTCTCCTATACAAATGCTCAACGTTAGCGCTATCACTCCAGACGTCGATATTGCCCCCATCTCTATTGCGGTATGTTTGCTTCCTGATTTGTGAATAAAAAGTGCAGATCAGTGCAGACTAACTCAGACAATCTCCCAAATTTTTCCGAGGAAAACTGAAGTTCTGAAATTTTCGGGGGGACACACCTATTGGAGCTGCCGTAGGGCGGGGCCAGGTAGGGCGGGGCCCACCCACACGGCCCAATAGGAGCGTCCGTCCCGGAAATTCTAGAAGTCCAGTTTTTTCCGGAAGTATTTGCGATTGTCCGTGAATAAGTATACAGCATATTGATCGTACGCCGGAGCTGTGCCAGCGTTGAGCTAGCGCTTTGCCGGAACTCACGTGCACGCGCACAATACTGACCGATCGACGTTCAGGCACGGTGGTACTACGGCGCTAGCACGACGCCGGAAATGGTGCAGCACGGCGCTGGCACAACTAACTCTGACCGCAGCCTAGCCGGGCTGGGTACTTTTTGCCTTCCGGACACATCCCGAGGTGATGTCAAGAACGGAACCATCTCCGGAAAGAATTATTTCTTGCTTTTGCTGCATCGCCTGCGTGTCACGTCTTTAGAAAAATTTTACACTTGACCACCCTTTACGCGCTCCAAGATTCTTTCGAGTCAACATAGTGTGGTTCCTAAAGTCCCAACATGTGAATTTTCGTGTTTTTTGTCACAAAAATTTCAGACAATGTGTATTTTTGCTTATCGCTGCTTAGAAGCCATCCGGTACTTCTGCTTTGATAATCTTTGTAAATTTTCGGCCAAGCAAGAAAAAAGCAGAAGTAACCGAATGGCTCATCTCATAAAGATCACATAGATTCTTCTGGGGTGGGTCAGGGAGGGACAGAAATCTTATATATAAAGCTGAATGTCTGTATGTCTGTATGTCGGGCCTACAGAGCCCAGGATTCAATAAAGGACCTGGCAGTAGCTGCTCTCCCCCTCCCTCTTTCCTCGCTCAAGAGCAATTTTTTTGCAGATTCAGTTTGAATTTCGATAAGGTTAGAAGAGCATTCTAGTATAACCAGTGAAAACGAGTCACTTGAACATTAAAGTGTGGTAGCCATACTTCCTCTTCCTTATCCTTACCAGAGATTTTTTCGCAATTTTTTTCTGATTCTTTGTAGGGTTTCGAATTTTTTTCATTATTTACAAGCGAAAACGAGCCACTTGAGCAGTGAATCGGTTGAAAAGTGGACAGAAAAGTGGGATTGTTTTACGAAACAGGGCTTCGTGAAATCTTCATATGTCAAAGGGAGTTTTTCTTCCCAATTCCATGAGTGCAAAGTACTTCAGCAATTAGATTTGGAGATATGCCAAATCACACATCTTGTGTTTATTAAAAAATTGACATATATGCTATCTGCTTCTGAAATGTAGATGGCTAGGTTACTTACAGGTAACAGCGATCGCCCACGCTACTAGAAAATTAGTGGACAACATATGCCCAGGTTGGTTGGATTTCGCTGGATTTCATACCAAAGCATACCAGGGCACACAGTCTTCATCAATCCCAATTAGAAGTCGCTGCCTTTTTTCAAACAGAACAGTTTCTGAATTTTGTGTGGGTTTGAGATGAGATATTTCCAACAGTTTCATGAGCAGAGGAATATGATAAGAAGAATATTTCGAAGTTTCTTTTGACGACTTTGAAGCGAAGAAATCTTTGTTATAACAACTTCTACGAAGATTTCCTACAAATTTAACTGCTTACTTCAAATCGTATGTTTCAAATCCAGGTGCACTTATCCAACGGCTCAGCGACTGTATAAATGATCCACAGGATGCATTATTCTCCACAATTCACACACTATATCTGTCACATCCTATGTCATCAGAGCGTTAGTTTGTAAATAATAGAGTATTTTTCCATATAAAAGATAATACGATTTCTAGCCGTGACTTTCAATGATACAACATTTTCCCGAGATCACACACTAATTGTGAATCGGGTACTTTTCGATGCACAACTCGAATATGAATCAATCGCTAGATGGGACCATGTTCATGGATTCGATTATACAGCTGCATCAGAACTTGTTATGGAAGAACGTGATGGCTCTAGAGCGCCATTGAAATCTACGTGTCCTAGGTATGTTTACACTCTGTTTCACTGCCATCTTCGCTGGCCGGTGCGGCCTGGGTTTGGCGCGAACGCCTCGATCACCCTGCAGTGCGTCTGCGGAAGCATTCTCTTGGCATCTTTCCAAGCTCGCTAGCCTTCATTTGCAGCTTAGGCGCGGGAAAAGCCGGACGCGGCACGGGGTGCAAGCAGAGCGGTCGCGCCTTACGAGCCGCATTAGCTGGCGACACTGTTATTGAGACAGGGTAAAGCTTGTACCCATTTGTAAACAAAATAACTGTTACAGATCGACTTGCTCAGCTGATGTGACAAGGCGAGCGCTAGCCGGAGTTGTTCCAAGCGTTAAAGACTCTCTCAAAAGTATTGGAGTTTTGATTTATGCCATTTGCGCAGGTTTGTGACTCAATTTAGCTATTAAAGTTATGCAGATTAATAAAAGGTTTATTTTCAGGCCTTGCATTCTTTGTTTGCCTCATGTGTATGTATCAAAAAGTAGTTTGCCGAATAAGCGACGCTTACAGGATATGCACAGCCTACACCTTTGGAGGTAAAAGCTAGCTTGTATGCATTATCCTTGCAGATCTAGGGTGTAAAAAATTTCGGTAGACAAAATCACTTCCAAAGATGTGGGATAGTTAGAAAATCGAGGTTAGACGACAAACATCCAAATCTTCTTCGCAAACCAGCAATCGTTACGGGACGCGCGGCGGCCAATGGCAGCGCTTATGATGCAAGCGATGCGCTGCTATCATTGGTTGCTGCCTGTTCTGACACGTAAAGATAATAGATGACGAACTGCATTGGGGCGGCTGATCTTTTCCAGCAATTTCCTGCAGTCAAATGAGAATATTCAACTCCATTTAGAGTAGTAGAGTGAAACAAACATGGGTCACGAATTTTTGAAAGCAGCGTCATAAAATCATAGAGTAAACTTTCATTTGTAAATAACTCAAAAAACTCTTCAAGAATGTAAAAATTGAATTAGGAATGGAAAAGTTTTTTCGGAATAACGAAAAAAATGCGTCAAAAGTCGAAAAACAACTCAGATATCTTTTCGGAGGATGGACTTCACCACGCCCTCTTTTTTAAAAAAAGAAAAATTTTCACCGTTCAGCCGAAAACATCCGTGAACGCCACTGTGTGTCTCACTTGCAAAATGCACCACTGTAATCTTTTATAATCTCACTTTTTGAAACCAACCCCCTTGTCAAAAGTCCATTTTACTTTTCCTGTTTCCAATTTTTGGCCATTTCTATACATTTTTGTTGTTTCCTTTGCTCAAAATTTTTTTCACAGGTTTGTCGATGCTTTGCCTTATTTCCATCACATTCTTTATGGCTCCAAATCCATTCGCTTGTTTCTCGCGAAAAATTCTCTTCCCAGTTGCTGTAATAACCATATTTGGCCCTATAGCAGTGAAGGTAAGGTAAACTGCAGTGCAAGCACATTTTTTGATTTCTACTTTTTTTACAGAGCATCTGTATATGGCATGCTGATCTTCTCACTGCACGTGGCGAACATCGTCAAGCAGCTGTTCGACACTCTGTGCTTACTTTCTGGGTTTGCGCCGCTATCGTAATGATCCAAATTGGTAGGTTTTTTTCTTTTTAAAGGCAACGTCCAGGCAAAACAAGCCGCATGGTTTTTCTACCCGGAAACTGACGAGAGGGTCCTACTCAAGTCACTGCCCAAACGGGAGCCAAAATGATTCATTCATGCTGAGAAATCCATGCTCAAAACACTCCGCGCCTGCCCGTCACCGTAACTCCCGAGGTTTGAATGGGTCCCAGGGCGAACGTAGGGCTAAAGCGAGCAAAGTTATTTCTGGGTTACGGTGGCGGAGGCGCGGAAAGTTTGGACAAGGATTTCCCAGCCGTGAATGATCATTTGCGCTGCGGCTTGGGCAGTGCCTTAGTTATGTCTAGGGTCAAGAGTCTAGGCACGCCACATCTGGGGGGTCGTATTGAGGAGTCAAAAGGGGAGGCGGTCGTAGTTGGGTAATTTGATAATAGTGATAACATGATATTCGTTCATATCCATAATTAGCATGTCAATTAGCCCCTGTAGGCAAAGTTGAGTGCATTCTGAAGATTCAAGATACTAGACTACCCAAGTGAAATGGTCATTTTCCAACATGATTAAATTTGTTTCAAAGGTGAAATAGCTATCCGTTTTTGCACTCGAGACAAAGCACTACTCCTTCTTTGTCCATCTCAGAAATCCCGCTCCAAAAGACTTCCAAACTGTGGAATTAGAAGCCAACCAAAATCTCATTTTTCCCATTTTTCGCTTTTAATGGCTGTGCTTTCACCAAATTATTACTCAGAGCTAAAAAGGCGAATCAGGCTTAAGCATTCCCATGGAATCTACGAGGTTTAAGCTATCGATTCATATAAATACTGTTCACTAAAAATGTTTTTTTGATATAGTTAATGATGTGGCTGCCACACCTGATTAACTATGTCATAAAAACATTTTTAGCAAACCATGTTTATATGGATCGATAGCCTAGATCTCCTAGTTTTCAAGGAGTGTTTTGAGCTTGACTCGTTTTCCTTGCTCTGAGTAATAGTTGGTGAAAGCACAACCATCAAAAGCGGAAAATGGGAAAAATGAGATTTTGGATGACCTTTAGTTTCACAATTTGGAGATCTTTTGAAGCGAGATTTTTGAAGTGGCCAAAGAAGAAGTAGTGCTTTGTCTTGAGTGCAAAAACAGCTAACTACTTCACCTTTGAAACAAGGTTGATCATGCTGGAAAATGGCGATTTCACTTAGGTGACGCAGTGTCTTGAAACTTCGGAATTCACTCAAACTTTGTTTACAGGGATTAATTGACATGCTCATTATGGATATGTTGCCCATTATGTTTGACAGGGCCTTCAGGTAATGCTATCTTAGGTATATAATTCAGGGGGGGGGGGTCTTATTAAGACGGCAATCAGGGGGGGGGGGGTCGTAACCAGCGATCGTGTGCCGCACCCCTTGCTTGACCATGATTATGTCCCCTTCATCAGTTTCCAGGCGTAAAACCCATGCGTCCTAATTTGCCTGGACACTGCCTTTGAGCGAATTTGAAGATACAGCGCAAATTACAGTAATCTCATCGGAATGGGCCATATTTGAATCGGCAATGGATTTGACATATGTCGTATCAGAGCGCCACGGAAATGCCTGGAGATGCACACCGGGTAATGACGTAAGTGTCTTTCTCATATTTGCCTGAAAAGTTACGAAAGAAGGGAAATGACAACAGTAGAAGCTTCTTCATGTCTTAAACACTTAGAAAAGAATTTCAAAAGTAATGGTCATTTGAGCTTTGCCCCAAAAAATAGACGCCATGGTACATGTTGGTACACCTGTCACTTAAACTGCAATCTCACTAAAGTTGAAGTAAAAAAAGGAAATTTTCCGAGGCAAATATATGCCAGAAAAGAGCATTTTTTGAAGAGTATAAAATTTTTTCACTCTTGTCGTCCTTTCCGGCGATGTTGCCTTGTTCACAAAATTGATTATTCCAATACATAGGTCATCATTGAAAAGCACTTTAGAGCACTTTTCCTAAAAAAATCCTTTAAAATAGAAGCTTGGCTGGTCATAGATAACCAGTGCCTCACCTCTGCTTCGCAGAGGCTCGTTATAGATAATAATAATATCCATTCTACCCGAAGGCATCGTCGAGGAACTAAATGGAGAAGAGTTTCGAAGTCAAAAAAGGTCTTACTCATTTTTGCTCAGAAGAAAAGCAACATGTAAGTGGACTTCACCTGTCGAAGAGCCTAGCTCCTAAGATTTCTTTTGAGGCAAATGGGAAAAGGAGCTCAATGCTCTTGAGAGGCTCCGTTAGTGAGGCAGCATGCAAAAAATGTAGGAGCAAGGAGTTGAAAAAACTAGAGTAGACTCTATCTGTGTCTCTGCTTCGCGTTGCAGACATCAAGAGAAATTTTATTTTATTCTTATCGTAGACTGCTAGAAGTCCTGATAAGTCGTAACTGGAGAGTCTTCTAGTTAGAAATTTTGCTACGTTGTCGGAAGTGCTCTTGATCATGTGATGTTTGCTGCGCAGCGTCAAAATTTGCACGTGCCAGCCTCGTGCTAGCGCCGCCCAGCGCCGTGCTAGCATTGTGCTAGTGCTGGCCGAATTCAATCAGGTGCAATATCGTTTTGGAGAATGCCAGCTCAGCCTGGAACGGGGCTAAAACGACCCCCTGGTACGGCGCAGGCATGGCAACTTTGAATGAGAGACGGCCGCACGATCGGTCTCTAGCGCCCTCCTGATTTTGGCTTGTCTCAACAAGTCACACTCAACGATCTACCCTCCCTTTTGCTTAGGCAAAAGCGATCGCAGGGAGTTTCGCGCGCGGTAGTGATCCTGTGTGGAAAGCATTACGGTCGGTCTCTACACCCCTTTAAATGCAGTTTTTAAGCGCAGATATATTCTAAGAAATCTCAGCATGTAACTCCTATGAGTAAATTTTTGAATAAATATCAGTTATCATACTTGCAGTCTGAGCATCGCATTATCTGGTCATGTGCTTTGAGCGGAATTATGGTTGTAGTGTCTCTTGTGTGTTCGACACTTAGCGTTCGTCACTCGCAAAGTCGTCAGAATATTCTGATCTCGGTAATGATTGGTTTTTCAGAATCAACGTCTAATCACTTATGTTGAATTTCTTTGCAGGTGTTGGCAGTAATGTTCGCAGCAGCACTCTACATTTCACTACCTTTACTGAGTTTTCAAGCAAGAGATTTCACATGTGCTGCGAGTGAGTCATTATTCCGAAATTAAGTTAATGGTCATTAGCTAAATTTTCAAAATAGTAATTGGAGGTATCATCCAGCTGAATCAAAGTTCCACCTGTATATTCTAAAATAGTCTATATGCAGAACAATATGGGCTGTCAAAAACTGTAATGAATATGGCTGCAGTACTTGGCTGCCGTTTCTGAACTGACTTGGAAAATCATATTTTCAGAATGCTTGGCTGAAAATACTAGGCTGTTGCATAAGTTCTGTCCGATTTGAATTTTTGAGTTTAAAATGTCATAACTTCTTTCAGAGTCAACTTTTTTCCAAGGTCTTAGTTTCTATGTGTTGAGCAGTCCCTTGGCTAAAAAATGCATATTGAGATCTGCGCAAATCTTTGTTAAGGAAGAACCAAGAATGCAAAAACTTCGCAGCGTTTTTCTTCGAATCTGTCTTTTTTGACATGGTAACGCTCCCTTATGAAAATTGATAGGCATCTTTTCTAATAATGGATGGATAGAGAAATTTTCGTAGATTATTATGTAACATAAAAGAGCCCATAGGGTTTGCGCTGCCGAGAGATTTTCTTGACCGAACAAAAAATTAGCCACTTTTTGACCTCGCTTCAGCACATGTGTGCATGCCTATTTATGAACTACGAACGTTTAACAACTGACGTGAGCGCCGAAAAGGAATTGGTGGATGGGCCCTGTTAGCTCTTGCTTTGCCCTAGCACCTCCAACTTTGAGCTTGTCGATTACTTCTATTCGCTGAAAGTTATTGCTTGTAAAACATCTATACCAAAGATTTATGTTCGAGGATAAATTTCACTAGCAAGACGTATTCTTCATGGGACCGAACTTCTGCATATACTAGCATTCCATACCCTTATTCCGAAGCCAATGAAAGAACCTGACTTGAAGGGCGCATTGTGGAGATATCCTCGCAAGGACATATTTCTAGGGATAGAACGTACCTCGGCCACTTAGAGATTTTAGGCCTGTGATCTCCGTACACTAAGAATTTTATTGAATTCTGGTATGCTTTAGAAAGCGCAAGGAAAGCACTTTTCAATGATACCAACCGTATCGAATTAGAGATGAAATTCTCTTAGAACAGCTGCTTCAAACATGAGGCAAAAAAATCGGACAGAACTTATGCAACAGCCTAGTACAGGGCGTCCCAAAAGTCTTGTAGCCTAGGTTTGCACTGCTTTAGCTCAACAATCACCGGTTATTCTGATATCAAATTTATGCCACTGAATGCTCCGATTATTCTTTGTAAAACACATTTCTGAGCGTCAAAAATGATCTTCATGTTTAATCGAAAAAAAAATAAAATTATCAAATCATTTCTCCCTCAAAACGCAAAAAGCTATTTCCTAGAAATTTGAAATTTATTTCGCTACTGCAATATTTGGCAAACCTCGGTGCAAATTCATATCCACAATATAGAGGAGGTTTTACTATCACTATAATGGCTGCATTCGAAAATCTATTTCAACGAGAGAGGCGAGAAAAAAATTTAAATTTTAAGTGCGCGCCACTGCAACTGTGTCTTTGAAATTCGTTTCAAGTCTGTAGAATTGCAGCAGTCATTGAATGTCGGGTAATGTACTCCTCGCCTGTCTCCTAGATGGGAATCTAATACAACACGGATGACGAACTTGATTTTGAAACACATTCTAGCCGATTCTCTATTTTCATTTCCCCGCAAATGTGTATAAAATTCCACCATGAGATCTACACATGCCTGCATTCAAATTTCTGTATCGACCACAAAGCCTATAGATTTTTCAATTCATGGTGTGTTGTAGATGAAAGCTTGCTTTATCATACATCATATTTCTAAGCGATAGGATCTATTTTCGTGAAAAAATGGGACAGAAAAAATTGATGATGACTGCCTGCGTGCCTCGGCAGTTGCAATCGTCAACAGTTCGAAGGCTTCAGTTATCAAGGAAAGATGCTACCACAAAATTCGAATTCTGTAATGTATTCCTACCATTTGGATAGTGTGTGCACTAAATTTTATCTCTATGTTGTTCCCTTCTGTTTTTATCAGAAAAAATACTAGACTACAAGACTTTTGGGAACCCTGTATATATAATATTTATTCAGTGCAATTGACGCTCTGCTTTTTGGTTATTGTGATCTCGTACTGTCAACAAGCGTTCGCATCTGATGACAACGAATCCAGCAATGTTTCACTTGTTCCAAGCACCATTGGACGATCGCAACAGGTTTCGTATAGCACTTTAAGATTTTCCTTCTGATAGTCCTAGATAAAGACCATTAACAACTGATCTCCTAGAAAAGGTTTGCTTTAAGATACAACCGTTTTGGGTGGAAGCATCAGTGACTCTAACGAATTCTCAGAAGCAGGCTATCTACGACAACTATCATGGCAACCACATTTCAGCTACTCGCTCAGAAAAACCAGGTCAGCAGTACGCTCAACAGAAATCATAATTTATCTATCGAAACGAAATTTGCATTTCAAACACTCTTACCCTAAGGTCGCAGTCCTTACATGAAAAAACGGCGACGGCGAAAGAAATTTTAAAGCTATACGTAACTCTCACTACTGCGAAATATTGCAAAAGCATAGCTTAGCCTTTAGAGCGCGAAACAATCACATTTTGAAGTTAGGTGCAATGGTACCGTTCATTATCAGGGCCGTTTCTTAGAATTAAAAAGGATAAAGGATTCGGCATTCTCAATACCCTATGCGGGCGCCGAACGCACACTACTTCATAGTCGAAGAGGCAATCCGGGGGCCAGCCGTTTACCAAGTCAGTGCTTTTATCCTCACAGATTACTCTGGTACCAACTCACTGGCCCCGGAGGGTAGAGGACTTGGCTGGTCCGAGGGCGGGGATCGAACCCGGGTCCGATCTGGTCATAGCGGCGCCTCATACCACTACGCCACTCGTCCCCTTCTTAGATTTACCACTTCGATTTTCTCTCAATTTAAAAACTCAAGGCTGTCCACTATGTCCGATTGAGCTACAAATTTTGTAAATTTTAGATCTGTAGTATACTACGCTTTGTAATCATTATGGATAAGTTAGCACACTTAAAATGTACTGGAAAATGGATGGATTTAGAGTGGAAGTATCCACTGTGGGATTTACAGACAGAATTTCTCGCATCGAGAGTTATTTTTAGAAACAAGATTTGCGCAGTTATCTATCATGTTGGAAGAGAGACCTAGACGCCCTCGAAATATTTATTTTCTAGCGCATTTTTTGCAATTTTCGCACTCTATTGCATTTCAACCACGAGAAACCCAGGCCTGGTGCGGGGTGGCAAATGTCAAATAAAATTATTTTGGGATGTAATTACAAAGGGGCCTTTGTAATTACATGTCTATATGCACTCGTACTCCCTCAACAAGTTGCTACACGACTGACATGCAAAAACACGATCTTGCTTGCGCGTCACCTTTAAAACCCAAATTTCTTTCTATATAGTAGTGATTAACTGTCTCGATTGCAGCGCGTACATAACGATGTGACTCCGAAATTGGTGTATAAATGGATAAGGATTAGGAGGAGTCTAGCGCAGGAATCATGGGAAAATTATGTGATTGAAGGTTACGGCATGCTTTTTCCTGTTTTTCGTTAGTAAAAAGTGGAAAAATGACTCGTCTGCAATCACATATGACAAAATGACACGAAATCGGGTGCGTATACGCACAGTGGAAATAAGGAACACAGCAAAAATTGTAAAAAAAACTTGCGCGAAAGAAGAGCGTGCCCAACTTTGTCTCAAATTAGGTGGGCATATGCCCACCTCATGCCAGCGTGAGGGGGGTAGGGGACTATATGTCGCCGAAAAAGGGCGGTCCCCGCGGTCATTTGTGATACGCGCCCTTGTATATGCGCTGATGACATGCGTTCCTGCAGGAAATCCGCGCGGGACTCTTCCACATTCGGCGACATATAGTCAGTTTGCTTTCCATGTCAGATGTAATCAGGAAGACTACAGTATGCGATCATTCCGCAAGAAGAGTAAAAAGAGCAGATCGTCGCATGGAAGTCGCAAATCGAAGAAGAGGTCCAAGAGGTCAGGAGGTCGAAGAGATCGAAGAGATCTCAACGAAGGCGAAGCAGAAGCCAGAGCAACACAGGGGCCCGTAGTAATCCACCCCGCATGTTGGCATAAGACATGACGGCAAGCTCGCGAACCTCACGACAAGCTCGCGTTCTGGCCCTGAGGTTCGCGAGTTCATTCACAGGGCTATGCGGGGTTAACCGCAAAACCATTGCTTCTACCGGGATGGAACTCCCATTTTGCGAACGAGAGTCAGCACGTTAACCTGTTGAACTACACGTGCACATTCATTCTCATTCTAGTGGGCCTAATCAAGCACACCAGCACCTTGCATTAACATGTTCATTTGAGTACTTTCGCACTGGGCGAACGAGAGCTAACCTTACGAAGCATTGGTTGTTTACAGTTGATTAAAACTGTAAACAGTTTTATCCCATGCCTCAAGGACCACACTGAGGATCATCCAAGGACAAGCCACTTTTCTTTTAATGCTACCACCATTTTAATTCAATCCATGTATCAAATTATTAGGTTGGCCCGAAAGTTCTTTTGCACCATTTTCAAAGATTCATAACGTCTGAATTCTCCAACCGATTTGACTGTGCTCTTTATAATGACATCTTAGGTGCTTGCTAATGATCATGTGTTGCATAGATAGGAGCGGTAGAAGAAAATTAGTCAAAATTCGAATTCTCTGTGTAGGGTCATAAAATATCGGAAACTTGCAACAAAAATCAAAGCAGTCAGTATTATAGGCTTTGTTACCTGCTCTCTCTGACTGTGCAAGGTCTGCGCTGATTGGGCGTCTATATGAAAAGTTATGATTTTCGAGCAACCAATAAAAAAGGGCGAATTTGATTTATTTTGGCATTTTTCAGAGAAATCATAACTTTTCATAGAGAAGCTCAATCGGCGCAAACTTTGCGCTGTGAGAAAGAGCTGGTAAAAACCTACAATACCGATTGCTCCGATTTCTACTGTAAGTTTCAGATTTTTTATGACCCTACACAGAAAATTCGAATTTTGACTAATTTTCTTCTATCGCTCCTATCTATGCAACAGATGGCCATTAGTAAGCAACTAGGATGTTTTTATAAAGAACATGACTTACTCTTTCATAAGAAAATGAAAGCAATCAAATTGGTTCGAAAATTCAGAAGTTATGATCTTTTAAAAATGGTGCGAACGAATTTTCGGGACAACCTAATAATTCATCATAATTCGCTGCTCACTGAGATTTTCTACACAATCTCACTTAACAATTTGTAAGTCCAAAAAATCCATTTTTTCCGTTGGACAATTGTGAGAATTCTCGGATTTATCCTCTCCTACTATCCTCTCCTACGCTTCTAATGCCTCCAGCTATTTGATAGATCAATTGTGCCAAAGGCAGGGTTCGGCAATGGGGGGCAATGAAGAAGTAAATCGTGCACTATTATTTAACCTGAAAAATGCCAAAAAAAATTTAATATTCTCAAGAAACTAATGGAAAAGCACTGAGGAAAAAATTCTCAAGGTAAATGGTTTTTCCTAATCCTCTGTTTAATATGGTTTGTATAATCTGTAAATTACATTTTACACAGTCGTCAGATGTTTTTTGCAAACTTTCGAGGTTTTCTTTTCAAAAATTATTGTACACTTAAATAACGAAATAAAGACATACCAGTCTTACACTGCTCAAATTGTACGTCAAAGTTACAAGGTGATGTTAAGATTAAAAAATATTTATTATTTAGGACTTGCTAGAGCTAAAAGCCAGGGCACAAATTCCAAAAATGCGTGTGCAAAGATTCCATAACTTGGCAGTTTCTTCATCTTCCTTTTGTTTGCACCTGCGGCATACTACTGCAATTATATTTTCAAATACAGTGTAAAAAATCATAAATAATAATCTTACCGTTGTGACTATGACGGCATGAAACATTGCAACTACTCGCACCAAAAAAAACTCAAATTTTCAAACTCCATTAAAAACCCGAAAATATGAATTCCTCACCAGGGGATAGGTGTTGGCTGCTCTATTATCGTTGTTAATGGTTCAGGAAATCTTGTTTATATTATTCGCCTGCTGATTGTTGTGTCAATCTCCTCGTGTTCTGGAGGGGTACTAAGTGCTTTGGCTTTGCCTAAAATCTTCAAATTGGGGCCCGGAAGCGAACAGAACACGACAGGGAACTTACCGTTAGTGCAGATAAGGAGTGTACTCTAGCCTATTCGTAAGTGGGCAGGGAAGAACCGGGTAAAGTGCTAGGTTCCATAGGCTAAATTATCCAACATTTGATAATTTTTTTATTAGCCCAAACGTCGACATTTGTGACACGATAAAAAATAAACTAGCCCCATTAGAATTAATCAAACAAAAAATTCACCCGAAATTTTCGTCACAAAAATAATCCTTACAAAAGAAAATATACAGATTACCCCAAAAAATGTGCCTACTGTTTACTGATTGCAAATAGCCCTCTTGTCATGAAGTTTGAAGAATCTTCGGCTACCATTTTTAGAGCTGGCTTCAACTCAGGTTCACAACATAAAGCGGATAGATCTCACCTCATTACTTCAAGACATACTGTAGAACTACGGTAGGAACTTAGAAGAGGATTTTGAGAGAACCGTATTTCGCATTAGAAAGGAAACAAAGCGACCTAGAACTTTCACAGTGGGCTAAGAGTTGCTGATAATATAAATCTTGCCTCCAGCATAACGCTTCCTTGAAAAATTATGCCAAGTAATGGTGGCAGCCGTTATCTTGCTGCTCTTAAAAAATTGTAGTTACATAGTTTAGAATTAGAATCTTGAACAAAGCGTAGTATATCAAAGCATCCATGAAAACTCTATCACACATATTTTTAGATTTTCTGGAAATTATTTAGGAGGCAACATTTTCACAGTGATGCTGTATGCCGGAAGTTCCTACCGTAATCTCACAGTACTAAAGAGAGATGGATGATTTGTTCCCAACTCTTAATCTAACTGTAAGCTGAAGCCAGCTCAACAAACTGGTACGTTAAGCATCTTAAAGAGTTCACGACAAGAGAGTTAATAACTGTCTCTAACAGTAGGTACATTTTTTGGAACATCATGTGCAATGAATTGGTTTGAATTGAAGTATTTAATGTTATGCAGACTTTATCAAAAGTTTAGTTCTCAAAAAACATTATTGATTCAGTTCCTGAGAATATGTAATGAATGGTTTGAAGGGCTTCAAAAATCTATTAACTCTTAAAAATAAGATCCTGTTTGAATGAATTCACCAATAAAAAATGAGAACATCAATATGCGATTTAAGAGCAGAGTCGAATAGCTTGAAGCATTTTTATCAAGGTGGAAAATTGCTTCCTTTCCTCCTATACTCCTATACTCCTACAAAGGTTTCCTCTCATATAGTGTTCTTGCAGACGGGGACACTGCGGGGACACTACACAAGTAGGAAATCTACTCAACTGTACACTACAAGCAACAGTAAAACCGAAAGAAACGCCACAGAGACTCACCAGCATGCGCGACAAGACTCCGCAACGTAGACGAGATAATCAAGTAGCTAGAGCACGAGAGATAAATCTGAAAGAAAAGAAAAAAAATCTCGAAGTCTACCTCACAGAAAACAGAGAACTCATCGCCGAGTAGTTGACCGCAGAGGGATTGCCCGTAGATTGCGGAGCGAGCGCGCGCTCCAGGGCGGTCCGCGCGATCGACTACTCAGTGATACATATAGTCGATTCGTTCACCGCACGGACTGCTCCAACGCTGCGGACCACGCGCGGCGCTTCTGAAATAATGCGAGAGCACGATTTGTACAGTGGCGAACTTGTATTGGGGCATGCGTTTTACCTCGCGCCACGAGCTCCGCACTGATGTCCAGTCCGGTCAACGAATCGACGATATATATTAATGAAGCAATTTTACAACCGACAGAATGGCACAAAAATGTGCAGTTGAACAAGAAGGCTCTGTCGCAAAAGAGCGTATAATCAAGCAAAAGTAATTGATTAATCACCGAATATGAGGATATATTTTTAACGACTTCAAAAGATGATAAGTTGAACAGAACTCATTCGCAGAAGACTTTGAGTAATTCTTCACTTGTAAACATCACAACGAGACGACTCAATCGAAAACAAAAAGAAGTAACTGCAGGAAAGTAAGTCGGAGAATCTTTACCTGATGAAAAGTTGAAGTCGTAATCTTGAGGACGTCTGAACACTTCTCGGCCGAAAGAAACGATACACTTGGGCTTGGCGATCATTCCTTTCTTAGCCAACGATAACCTAAACGAAGCTTATCTGACTTACCAACAAGGAGATGTATGGGACCAGCTAAGGGTACCGGAAAACGGTTCCTTACAAGTGGACAGTTGAAGTAACTTCTAAGGCCCTGGCCAGACTTCGCTCAAAAGCGCCCAAAAGCGCCCAAAGGAGCCCCAAAAAGCCCAAAAAGGCTCGAAAAAGCCCAAAAAGGCTCGAAAAAGCCCAAAAAAGCCTAAAAGCGCCAGAAAGAGCCGGAACACATAAACGAACTTTCGTTAGGACATTATTTTCATGTGCACGCGACAGAAAATGAACCAGAAAACCCGGTTGCGAAATCAACGCACATGCCCTAGCCCAAAACTTGCGAGGGGTTCCGACTCTTTCCGGCCCTTTTGAGCTTTTTTGGCCTTTTGGGCTTTTTTGGGCGGTTTTGGGCTTTTTTCGACGAAGTATGACGGGTCCCTAACAGTTGTCTTGAGGGAGATTCGTGAGGCAGAAATCGCGAAACTCGATTTTTCAAACTTGCAACTATATCCGAGGCCATATGCGAAATTTACTAGAGTGACTTTTCCCACTATGACCACACTGAAGAGAAGAAAGTGGAGAAAACATAACGAAAGTATGAAGAAACTAAAGAATACAGAGAATGACGTACAAGATTCCTGTGGGTTCCAGCCGATGAGCGAGCAAATTTCGTGGCGAGCTGAAAGTCCTAAGAAGAGATTTGGAAGAGTTTCTGGTGCCAGAACTATAAAAACAAACAATTAGAAACAACTCAGGCCTAAAAGTTCGAAGTACACCAGTGAAATGTGCTAAAATTCACTTTTATTACTTTGATCCTCAGAGAAACAAACAAATAATGACAACAAGCATCTCGACAGAAGTCTGCAAAGTTCAATTTCTGCAATGAAGTATAATTTGTGCATTTTGCTCTATGTATGTTCGTTCTTTCTCGGGAAACGTCTCCTTAAACGAGTTGACGTTAGCAATTATACAGCGCAGTGTTTCGAGAAAGAGTGAACAGTGAACAGTGAATGCGAATTAACTTGCTTTGAGCTCACTGTTACTTGAATCTGAGCGTGCAAATCATTGGGGATAGAAGCCAACAAGGTACTGAAGAGCAGGTATAGGCCCAATGTTATGACCAGAACTCGGAAAAACAAAGCAGGTTAACTTAACTATATACCTACATTTCTGCGATTAACCACTCCTTTTCAAACCAGCCGTCTACATAATAAAGGATGAAACCGTGACGGCAGCTGTTTTGTCTTTTAAAGACTGTCAACAATGCGAATAAAACACTTCGTTTGTCGAATACAGCGGATTCCTACCAGCAGTTTTAGCATCCAAAAACATACATGGCGATCCCTTCATCGACTGAGTGACAGAAAATCCATTCCAAAACGTAGAAAAATAATGATCGGCGATTGGTTTACTCGCTGTCAGCTTACCTGTAAAATTCACAAGTAGCAAGAAACACACAATAGGAATGGAAAAAACGGTTGAAGTTATGCAAAAATGCGTTCCACGACGGTTTTCTGCCCAGCAAGGCAAAAAAGTTTATCATTCCAGCAGTTTTTGATATTTTCTAACTGTTTTGGATAATAAGGATGTCTCAATTACAAAAGAAAAATAACAAAAATAAAGAAAACGTTTGAAAATCCGGCACTAAAACAAAACAATGTCATGAACCTGCCGGCATCTCGACATGGTCCGACCACGACGAGATGCCGGCAGGTTGCACTCCTCAATATGCACGCTATTTTCCTTTCTTTGCTGACATGAGGGCGAGATGCCGGCAGGTTGAGGGCGAGATCGCGGCAGAAATCTCGACAAAATACCTCACGAAGTTGCCGGCAGGTCTATCTTTTGGGTCCAAAATTTGGAGTTGTCGGGATTTTTCGGATTTTTTTCGATCTCCATCTGGTGCCCACCTCTAAGCTGGACCGTCAGTCCTGGAGAGTGCCAGACTGATTGCTTTGGGGAACTTATAGAGGGCGCTGACAGTTTTCATGACCTGAGGGCGAGATCGCGGCGAGTTGAGGGCAAGACCTGCCGGCAGGTAGGGTAGATTACTACTGGCCAGGGTGTCACGGCCAAAGTCTTCTCGTAGGGGAAGAAGCCGAAGTCGTGGTGGACGAAGCCAAAGAAGCCGAAGTCGTGGTGGACGAAGCCATTCCAGAGGAAAGAGCCCACACCCGAAATCACACAAAAGTGGGAGAAGAAGCAAAAGATCCGCATCCATGAGTGGAGCTCATACTGGAACTGGGACTGGGAATGGAACTGGAACTGGCACTGGTATGGGCACTGGTCCTGGCCCAGAGCAGAATGAGAATATAGTCCTCCATCCGCGTGAGGGAAACTCTCAGTTTACATAAGTTTTTCAAAAATCCCAAATAGATCTGCTATACAACCGAAGTTTACTGTATAATAACATTTTGGTCAAACAACCCTTCATCTCCTTTTTGCTAACCCAAGATAGCAACGAGGCCGATTCCTGGAGGAAAGCGCGCTTCGAATAAACGACTCACGCGGCTGGCGCGATCAAGTGAGAATTGGTAAAATTCGTAGGCCGCAAAGGCGATCGTAGGTGTCCATTCGCCACCCTTGTAACTGGCCTCGAAGAGTTTTTCGTTGCGAGATTACGTCAAGTCTCACCATCCCCTGTTTTGTCTGGATGGTAATGTTGAAATATTTCTTTTGAAAATCAAAGCTTATGATAACACTTTTGTGAATGACTAGCCGACGATAACCGACTGGTCCCGCTTGTCACTCTAATAGGGTCGCACGCGTTCATTATCTCCTCCGACTATGAAATAGAGTGCATTCGGCGCATCCCCGCAAATGGTTGAAGGCGAGTCCTTCATCCTTTATCCTTTACTGCCTCGAAAATTTCTTATTGATAAATGCATCAGTACACATAGGAATGTTATTGAATATCATTTTCTAGGTGTCACAGTTCCGAACATTTCAACCGCGAAGGAGCGACCGGCTGTGCGACAGATCTCCATCGCTGAAAAATACGGTATTTGCAACCAGTAAGAATTTACGTTTTGAACAGCATGCACTTTTTGTAGACATACCGCCCTCTACGATTTCCAAGTATGGACAGCATGAATACGGTAAGTTTCGAGTTCAGCGCATCTTTTCAACAATCTTCTCATTAAGCAGCCGATAATGATAGCGAAGAAGAACAAAATGCGAGACTCTGACGCGCGAATCGAAGCGTATCTTCCACGATGTATCACTTGAACCAAATAATTTATTACTTTTATTGGTTGATCGCTGCAATTGATGCCATTCTTGTTTTTGAAGGGATTTTAATTGAATTTGTGTATCGTTGAATCAAGTGCCTTTTGATCATCCAACTGTTTGAGACAATCGATGTGCAAAACCAAAATAACCGAAACTAAATTGAAAACTGAACAAACATTACCACAGCTCGTCTTAGCAATATGTTGCAGAGCAATAGCGGGGTGGTCCAAGAAGATTTCCGCGGGTCTTTTCATACATTTTCTGTTAGTTCAAACATCATAAAACACATTAATTATTTAGCAATCAAATAAAAATCGCTTGAACAATATGAAGGCAGTGTCCGATCTAACAGTTTGGCTTTTTTACTTTGATTACTTGGGCTTGTTCGTTTGTTAAATTCGAACTCACCTTGGGATGCGCGAAATCGACGAGAACAAGTTCTTAAAAGCCTTATATTTTGAATTCGGAAGAGAACTCTCCCTCTACGACTGGAATCATTTCTTCGATAGTCTGAATACAGAACCTGATAAGTGAAGATTGTCTGACTCCTTGCTCCTCATGAGAAGTGATGCTTGAAAGAACCGTTGTTCACCGTGTACGCTGCATTGACTTGCTCTTTTAGCGGTATCTAAATCGCAGCTTTTCGCTTCAGTAACGGCTTTTCAAAACTTTAGAGCAACGATGAAAAGGTGATCAATTTTTTTCAGTAGTCCCAAAAGCAATCACAATTCAGAAGTGACAGTCGCTATAAAGAAAATGTACAGGAAAAAAGCTGGTCATAAAATCGGAAAGTTTTATTTTTCAAAGTCAGCATGTCACAACCAATCTATTTTTTGATGCTTCCTTCGAATTTTTTCCATTTTGTTGTTTTTGCTCTCGGCGACGTTGTCCGCGTTGTTCTGTCATCATTCTACGAACAACAACTCTGAGGGGGCGCATGCACTAACTCCTCGCTGGGGAGGGGATCGCAGCTCAAACGAAAGCTTCATATCCTGAAGCTCCAGGTATGTGGACTACAGCTATCTACTTATCCGCAAGCATTCCCATCGTCCTTCGCTATGTACATATCGAACGGGAGCAAGAAGCTGTACAAGACGTTTTGTCCAGCTTTTTATATGATCCCCCGGTGATCCCCTTCGGCCAAACGCCTTTTCTTCAAAGTCATTTTTCTTCCTTCGAAGTTGACGAAAACCTTCCAAAGTTGTGCTGGTCATCTAGCCCAAACTGCAAGCATGTTGTGGTAAGAACAAATGAGTTTTCGGAAAATTATTTTTTTTTCGATAAACCCAACTTTCGACTTATGGTCAGGGCTCGGCACGAGGTGGCTACATGAAAATGGAAAAAACGAAGTCCCCCTTGACTTTTGGGAATTTTTACGAAGTCCCCTTTGACCCTCAACCAAGTTTCCTCTAAAAACCTGAAAAATTCCCCAAAATCCCCCAAAAAACGAAACGTCGACTAAAAAAAAAAAGGTCGCCGTCGCCAATTTTCTGTGTCTCTTCGGTCACAAAAACGAAACCCCCTTTGCTTTTCGTCCCAAAAACGATACCCAGCTTGCTTGTAAGCCACCTCGTGCCGAGCCCTGCTTATGGTACATCGCAAATTTCATAACTTTGAAACATCACTTATTCTTACTCGAATCATGATTAGCACTGTTGGATTAGATAAGCAACACAATTTTGGAATGTTTTTTTATTGACAAAAAAATGACTTTAAAGAAAAGACGGTCATCAGCTGGGGATCATCAGGGGATCAACAAATAGCTGGAAAATGCAGCTTGTAAAGCTTCTTGCTCCTGTTCAATATGTTCAGTGAAGAATGATGGGATTACTTGCGGATAGGTGGACAGCGTGCAGGATATGAAGTTTTCTTTGAACTGCCATCCCCTTCCCAGCAAAGATGTTGCTGCTTCCTTGAGTCAGCTCCAAAAGCGAAAGCAAGATCCATCGAACGCGAAAAGTGTCAAAGTGAGGATAAAGCAAGAAAACTTAGAAAGCATGGTTCCAAATCAAAAATGGGTTTGGCGACGGTTTGCATGTCATTGAAGATCAAAATGGGCTAAGACTGGGCTCAAAATTTTAGGTGGTGTCATAAGTCTGTAGAATTCTCAACTGGCTAAATGTCAGAATTTTGTCAAAATAAGTTCAATAAGGTATGTCTCGTTGTTCCACACGTCCTTCTGCCACCTTGCGTATTTTCAGTCAAGTTCTGCAAAAGCTTCGGGAGTCTCGTCCCAAAAAGCCATCTAACCAGCGTTTGAGTTCGCCTTCAGATTCGAAGCAAACACCGTTCCGTCTGCCTTGTGACAGTCCAGGGAACATGATGGTTTTTTAAAGCGAGATATCAGCAGCACATAGAGGGCTAATATACCTTCCGGTCGAATCTTGCAGAACAGTTTTACGACAGTTTTACGTTTGCTGCACGAAGCCATATTTTCTCGTGCAGAAAAACTCTCTGTTGTCTATCTGACCTTTTTTGCAGCATTTCTCTATTCAGAAATGCAGTTGAGTTAATGTCCCATGTTCGACTCTCGATAAATCTTGGCATATCGTTATGGATGCTGTTTTTGCTTAGCCGGCACCAAGATTGTTAAACCGCTTATTCGGCTAACGTTTCGGCCTAGTTGCCTTCGTCAGAGCCTATAAAGCATAGAACATTTTGATTCATCCCATCAAACATCTGGGGGAGGCATGATGATTACGAGAACAAAACGACGATAGGGAATTTGCAAGTAGAAAGAAGTGAGCACAGTAAAAGGTTTGTAGAGGAATAGAGATAGAGGAACCTTTAACATAATGTTTTGACAGGGCCGGGCGGGGCCTGGTATGCCAGATAGTCCACAGACGGGGTCATTCTCTCTCCAAAGCCTTCCGACCTTCCGAATGATGCTCGCATTTAATGCAATGTAACGACTTCGACTTGTGCAAAGACCCGTCACAGGGGTCGCTACACAACACTCAAGTCCCCCAACTCTTAATCTGTCCAGATACCGCCTTTGTAATCATATAGGGCAAGTTGTATATTGCGAGACTTATCGGGACCGTTTTGATAATTCGTTCATCACACATTAAAACAATAACGAAAAATCGCGTATTTTCGGCTACGTTATTCTCTTACTGAATTGTTCACATCACAATTGAAAACATTTCCTCAGTAAACAGGGAGGAAATGAGAGATGTATCTTATTGTCGTTTCGTTGAGCGCACGGACTGCTCGAACGCTGCGTACCACGTGCAGCGCGGTTGAATTGATGCGGGAGCACGACTTGTACAATGGCAAATTGTGTTGGGGCAAGTGTTTTACCCCGCGGTGCGTGCTCCACAGGATGAGCAGTCCGTGAGGTCAACGATGAAATATAAATAACTGTGCATGGTTTCGCAGAATAGCGGTTAACACCCTGGAATTTGAAAACAGTAACACGGGTTCGAATCTCGCAGAACCCATTCTTTTACAAGTCATTTGATTTGAGATTTTGACAAAGCTTTCATCTCATTTCAAAAGCAGTAACGAAAACCTGCGTATTCTCGGCTAGGCAAGGTTGATGTGGTGTGGACCATTTGGTCACATTATGATTTGGAAGCATCTTCTCAGTACACAGGGAGGAAATGAGCGATGTTTATTGAATAGTTGTCCGTGGTTTCGTAGGGTAGCGGTTCCAACCCTGGACTTTGAATCCAGTAACGCGAGTTCGAATCTCGCCGGAACCTACTCTTTTGCGACAAGCTTTCATTCAACAGTTTGCTAATGCTTTCATCTCATCTCAGAAACAATAACGAAAAACGCGTAATAGTCAAAAGAACTGATCTTGACACATAACATTTGTGGATGGTTCCGCAGTGTAGCGGTTAACACCCTGGACTTTCAATCCAGTAACGCGAGTTCGAATCTCGCCGGAACCTACTCTTTTGCGACAAGCTTTCATTCAACAGTTTGCTAATGCTTTCATCTCATCTCAGAAACAATAACGAAAAACACGTAATAGCCAAAAGAACTGATCTTGACACATAACATTTGTGCATGGTTCCGTAGTGTAGCGGTTAACACCCTGGACTTTGAATCCAGTAACGCGAGTTCGAATCTCGCCGGAACCTACTCTTTTGCGACAAGCTTTCATTCAACAGTTTGCTAATGCTTTCATCTCATCTCAGAAACAATAGCGAAAAACGCGTAATAGTCAAAAGAACTGATCTTGAACATAACATTTGTGCATGGTTCCGTAGTGTAGCGGTTAACACCCTGGACTTTGAATCCAGTAACGCGAGTTCGAATCTCGCCGGAACCTACCCTTTTGCGGCAAGCATTCCTTCAACACTTTGATAATGCTCATTTCCTCTCAGAAAAACAGCAAAAGAACTGGTCTTGACCATAAAATTTGTGCATGGTTCCGTAGTGTAGCCGTTAACACCTTGGACTTTAAAACCAGTAACGCGAGTTCGAATCTCGCAGAACCCTTCCTTCTGCAATTCATTATATTTGAGATTTTTACACCGCTTTCACCTCATTTCAAAAGCAGTTAGAAAAACCTGCGTATTTTCGGCAAGGCAGGGTTGATGTGGTGTGGACCATTTGGTCATATTATGATTTGGAAGCATTTTCTCAGTACCCAGGGAGGAAATGAGCGATGTATGGTAAATAGTTGTGCATGGTTCCGTAGTGTAGCGGTTAACACCCTGGACTTTGAATCCAGTAACGCGAGTTCGAATCTCGCCGGAACCTACTCTTTTGCGACAAGCTTTCATTCAACAGTTTGCTAATGCTTTCATCTCATCTCAGAAACAATAGCGAAAAACGCGTAATAGTCAAAAGAACTGATCTTGAACATAACATTCGTGCATGGCTCCGTAGTGTAGCGGTTAACACCCTGGACTTTGAATCCAGTAACGCGAGTTCGAATCTCGCCGGAACCTACTCTTTTCCGACAAGCTTTCATTCAACAGTTTGCTAATGCTTTCATCTCATCTCAGAAACAATAACGAAAAACGCGTAATAGTCAAAAGAACTGATCTTGACACATAACATTTGTGCATGGTT